ATTAACATTGATATATTTTTTTTATACAAATTTTTATGATATCTTCAAATTTATATTTTATTCAAAAATAAAATCATTATTGTTTTCTCAAAAACACATAAAATCGTATTATGACATCAACAGAGACAAATAATAAAATAAAACATTAAAATCGAGATCTTTCTTGTTGTATTGCACGAGTAATCTTCTAGTATATATATAATTTAATCATTCTTTGGAGTCGAGTTTAGGAAAGAATTGAGCGTTGTTTTATGATTTATTAAAAATTATCTCTGGATCACTTAAAATTGGTTCCCGTATTTAGAAGCCCAAAAAAAAATACTTTTAATTCAGTAAAATTTGTTCATGCGAAAGATCGATTTGGATTCTCTTAACGCTAAGAAATGATGAAATTTGGAGTTTCTCAAAGCTCGCTATACTGGAATCTTTTCGTTCGTTGCAACAAATCGAGAGCTTTTGCTGATACTCCCATCATCAACAGCAATAAGCCCTCAAATTTCATCAAAAGCCGAGCAAGATTCAACAAATTCGTAAGGAATCAATGCAGAATTGGATTCAAAAGCGTTGATGATGCACTCGTCCTGTTCGATGAAATGATTCAGATGCGACCAATGCCTTCTTTATCCTACTTCACCCAGCTAGTGGTAGCCATTGTGAAAATGGAACACTACGAGGCTGCAATATCTCTGGTTGAACAAATGGAATTTCTAGAAATCTATGACCCTGATGTTCATATCTTGAGTATTTTGATCAACTGTTACTGTCACTTGAATCGGGTCGATTTGGGTTTCTCTGTCCTTGGTCGAGTCTTGAAACTTGGTTATGAACTCGATGTTGCTTTGTTTACTACTTTGATTAAGGGTTTGATTGGTGGAAACCGGATGGGTTTGGCTGTGGAGTTGTTTAAGGAAATGGTGGTACGAGGGATTCAACCCAATTCGATTACTTGTGGGACAATAATCAATGGGTTGTGTAAAATGGGAAACACCAATGCTGCAATTGAATTGGTCAAGAAGATGGAGAAGAGAAGAATGGAAGTTGGTGATGTTGCATATAGCATGATCATTGATAGTCTTTGCAAGGATGGAATGGTCACTGAAGCTTTTCGACTCTTTGAAAAGTTGATTCGTGGAGGTTTGAAAACGAATGTGGTCATGTACAACTCACTGATCCGTGGTTTCTGCAATACGAATAGGTGGAAAGAGGGCATGGAGTTGTTCAATGAGATGGTGAATCCAGATGTAAAAACATATACTACCTTGATTGATGCACTTTGTAAAGAAGGGGAGGTCGAGAAAGCTGCTAAAATGGTCGAGTTGATGATCGGAAAAGGGGTGAAGCCCGATGTCATCACTTACAGCACGTTGGTTGATGGGTATTGTTTGCAAGGTAGAATGCACGAGGCAAAGAATGTAGTAGATTTGATGATTAGCAATGAGTGTGAGCCAAATGTGCATACATATAACATCTTGATCAACGGATACTGTAAAAAACAGAGGACAGACGATGCACTAAAGGTGTTTGACGAAATGTCCCAACAACACCTAGTTGCTAATACCATCACATACACCACCTTAATTCAAGGGTTCTGTCTTAGCCGGCAGCCGGGTGTTGCTATGGAGCTGTTGAAGAAAATGGAATCGTACGGACAAGACCCAGATCTTGTCACATACTCGATCCTGTTAGATGGTCTGTTTAAAAATAATTATCATAAGAAAGCAATGAAGTTGTTTCGAGCCATGGAAGACGCCAAGTTGGATCTCGATGTCGTGGTTTATGGCATTCTCATCGATGGCTTGTGCAAAGCTCGGAAACTTGAATCTGCAAAAGACTTGTTCCATAATCTTCCAAGCAAAGGAATCCATCCAAACACTCGTATATACAATATCTTGATAGCTGGCCTTTTCAAGGGAGGGCTCTATAATGAAGCAATCTTCCTGTTTCAGGAAATGGCAAAAGGGAGTTGTGGTTGCATGCCAGACGGCTGTACATACAACATAATCATTCAAGGTCTTGTTCTTAATGATGATGTTTCGAGGGCAATCGAATTTCTACACAAAATGGTTGGCAAGGGGTTTTCAGCTGATGCATCGACAGTTGAGATTTTGTTAAATGATAAAAACTTGGATGGGTCAGTTCTGCAGATGCTTTGCAGGTAGAAATCTCATCTCTATTTTTTGTATAATAGAATCACAAATGTAGAATGGTCTGAAATGAGAATGGAAGTTGAAGAACACAAACTATACCTCTATACAACACTGACTGACTGACTGACTCAGAAACAAAATCTTATGATGCATGTTCTACTAGGGTACACTCGAATGGAAGATAACACCTAAAAAACTACATCACCCGAAGGAGGATGCTACACAAACAAACAAACAAAGAGTATATATGATTGCTGCTACCTTTTTTCACAAAGAATTACACATCTACCAGAAGGATGATGATGATGAATGCTTGCATTCTCTTGCTGCTAGGTTCATTTTGATGCTTCCCCAGAAAGCCACACCCCCATGCATTCCCAGAGGTCATAACTTGGCCAACTCAACTTGCAGTGTAGCTTCGGCTGACCTTATTCTCTTACTAGTTGTAAATTCTAACTGGTTTCTCGAATGTGTGACGGTTCTGCAAAAGCCAATAATACTCCATCAAGATTACAAGTATTCGTTGCCAACGGTTGCATTTCATTCTGAAATATACACCTACTCTTTTAGTTTTTTGTTTACATCTTTGCAACAATAACAGAAATTGTAATTTCCATTTGCCAATAAAATCAAAAAATGTTTACCATTGTAATAATTTTTGTGATATATAATACCATCTTAATGTATGGCGAAGGATCGTGCGAGAAGGGAAATTATTGTGAGAAGTGTAAGAATAGATATGAACCCTTGAATCTTGACCACTTTTAATCTCATGCCCACCCATGAATTACGCTTTAGAAGGGAATTGATCTGGTGCATCTCGGTGCACCTCATTAGTGTTGACATTCAATTAGGATTGACCCAAAGGTGAAGATTTTTTCTTACGCTTCTCACCGTAACATCCCTTCTCACCAAAACCCAACTCCTTAATGTATTCTATATAAAGTTTTTGTTAATGTGCAACTATACTGACACAAAAAAAGGCAAATATAGAAAGCAGTCATGTTGTACCTGATTCGCAGCATATGACCTCTTGGGTGAATTGTCACAGTGCTCCAATCCCAAATATTGTTCCCAAGCACCATAAACATCTCTTCTCTGAAACCAGAAGGACCATATACATCAATTTCAACATACATATTTCTACTGCTAACAAATTATGCAACCGTTTTACTAGAAAGAGAAACTTTACGGACCTGAAAACGACTCGAGACAATATCAGAGTCCTGAAGGTATGTGGGACGCCCCAATGACAGAAATGCAAACTTCCACTGATGCATTGTGAGTTTCAAAATTGAAGCATGAAGTAAGAACGAGATCGGTAAAAATGCCCCACATGACAGAAGTGTCCATTATACGTCAATAAAAGAACAACATACCTTTAAAAACTCTTCATCTGGAACCTGTAACTTCTTCTGGATCCTTATTTTAACTTCAGCTAATGTCTCACCCTCACGAATGACGAGAAAGAATGGTTCCCCAAAGTTCTGGACTTGCTGCACATATATGTAAATGTTAGTATTACAAGCTACAATACGATATATATATATATATATATATATATATATATAAATATATATAAAGCAACTGGAAAATAATAAAATTCTTAGCCATAACGCAAAGCACCTGGTTCTGAACAGTGTCTTTCATAAAATGATAAACATGAATTAGACGGTCCTGAGGACCCAGGTCCTTTTCTTCTTCTGGAACCTGTAAGAAAATAAATCTCAGAATACTTACAGAAAACTATCATTCTGACAACAAAAACTCTAAACACACAAGTCGGGATTTGGTAGGTATTAAAGCAAATATGGAAGGCCAGCTATGCATGAGTTCTGTACAAAAGGACATGAATGAAGAATGAGCAATTTATGTCGCAGATGTTATGCAAACTACATGAGTGTCGACCATGGGAATAACCCGAAAAAAGAAAAAAAATACAAATATATTTGAAATCACATATATATGACAAACATAGTAAGGCATATCATTTAGCACATACCTCCTCAGCACGTAATGTCCAGTATTGGTCATTAATATTCTCGATTTTTTCATTCAGGGGGAAAATCTGCACATATGGCAACAAGTTTAGAAGCAACGTAAATCACATACACCCGGAAGACTCCAAAGGCACCTCTGATTAAATGGGAAAAACCCAGAAGGTTCAGAAGACAACGAAAGAGGTTGTATTCTTTTTAGTTCATGTCAGAATCCCTGGTCCCACCAAACTAACAAAAAGCACATGAAAAGGAAGACTGAAGGAATTTCAATTACACTGCACATTGATAAATAAGAAATAGAAGCATGACATTTTTCGAATAACTATCAAATAAAGAAACAAGTTCATGCAATTTGGCCCGTTCTCTGAAAACTTCTATGGCACTGAATGAACTCAGGTACACCTACACAACTAGGAACTCTTTGGTCGCAGCATCCAATCATTGCAATTGTAACTGAAAGACCCATATTTGCTACTTTACAGTGCTAACTGTGGGTTCTCTTGATTGGCCAGATAAATTATTTTAATCATTAAAAATCTTCTATAGCTGAACCAGTCGAGGAGAATCAAGCCCAAAATATTTAGGGTGTGATTTGGAAAAGGAACAAATCCACCTTCCTTGGATGATGACCAAGAGCACTGCATAGTATTTCTGTGTCATGACACATACAATAGATAATTCTCCCCCGGTACTAAAAAAGAAGAGTCCACCTTATAAATAAAGAAGGAATTTCAGAAGACTAACATTTTTGGACAAATCTACACTTATCCTAATCACCAAGACATGTTCCCCATTGGGTGCTGTAATAACAAAATTTAAGAAGCTGCAGTTCAAGGATATTATACTTGCGTCAAATATACATAGGGAGACAAGCTGGATGATTGACTGAATGCATGTGTAGGTATGTGAATGAAATTAGGTGACAAATTCTGTAGTTGTGCATATGGAAGATGTTCTATGTGCTACCACCCCCTTCCCCACAGTCTTGTAAACAGCAGAAAATAGGCATAAAAAGTTATACAGTTCCAAGAAACACTGAAATAGACACAGATTACAGGGTAACATAAAAGCTAAACTAATTTCCATGTATATACCGCTTTCGTCATATGAACCATAATGCTTTTGCCTTTTAATGATCCAGCCATACTCTATTAAGTATACCAAAAAAATTGGAAACATCCTGTACCTTGTAAATTTTGTGGTAGAAAACCTCAAGTAGTCGAAGTTCTGCATCTCGATGAGACAACTCAACCTATTCCACAACACTTAACAGTTAACCATAGATCTTTATAAAAATGTGAACAGATGAGTACCACATAAAAATGGGAACAGATGAGTACCACATGATACAAATTAGGGTCCAAAACACATGTGATATAGTAAAATAATAAAGTACAGTATGAACAATACCATGTTTAACAAGAGATATGGTCAATTACAACCCAAAATAAGTTCACTTACCTTTGTCTTAAGGTCACTAATCACATCCCCCACTGTGCTTTGCTTTGGCAATCTAATGGTATGTATTACCACCTAACAATCAGTTAAAAGAACATGTCAACAAAAAGATAAGTTCAAAACATAAACAGAAAGAGATACAGCAGCAACTCAGCACTTACTTCATCTTTAGTAGCATGATGGAAGGCAACTTTCAGAGTTTTCAGGCCTTGCAGTTCTGGCAGAGGGATATCCAGTACTTCATAATACAAAATATCTGAAGTCTGTGCAAAACAAAAGCAAAAAGACAAACTAAACATAGGTGCATGTACCAAGACTCTAATATGAAAGTCACCAAGTTTCCACCCTACATGTTTATATGTGGGTCTTACAAGGAAACGAAGGCCAGTAAACGTTTCAACGGATTCATCTATTGGAAAGCATATATAAATAAGTTACAAGAGTTAAGAGGTATGACGTTGATCACATGAATAACAATGAATAACCTGATTGTAGTGGGCCAGCATGTCTGACAAATGTTCCACTCCACGATACTTGATTGGCTGTGGTTTAGGTTGCTGAGAGTAGCAGTTGTGAGATGTAAGCCTGATTTTAGATGGATCATCTAAGTGTAGATGGTGAGCAAGTCTTTCAACAACATCGTCATAATTGTTAAGTTTTGATCTGTAATGCAAGAAGATCAGTAAACCATGTGAACAAAAACTGAGATCAAGTTGATGAATTCGAAGGCCAGAACATCCAGGAACTCACAATTCAAGAGAGAACTCATCCTCCTTGGGCTTCTCCAGCGCACGAAAACGTACAACCTATGAACCATCCAGCATTAGGTAATGCAACAAAAAGAAAAGAGTATAAAAAAAAGAATTTCACAAGCGGTAAGACACAAGCTTCAACAAGAACATTTGTATAAACTGCCAAAGGGTCATTGACCCAGCGATATCTGGGTTACCAGTAGAGCCCAACCTCCCTGGAGGTTAAGGTTTCAAACCTCATCAAAGTTGAGTGTGCATGAGTATTCATCGTATATAAATATTATATACTTACAAGACCAGTTGTATAACCTCATTTTTAAACTATGTCTTCCTCTTTTCATGTTATACAACCAGAGAAACAAATAAAAGATATAAAAAAAAATATGTCAAAGGAAGAACTTTACAAGCGGTGAGACGAAAGCCTTAACAAGAAAATTTATATGAACTCATTTTTAAACTATATCTTCCACCACTTTCATGTTATACCACCAACCACTACAATGTTACCCAATATGAGGCACATGTAGGTTTAGGCAGTCTGTTCAGTTGCTTATCTTCGTAATTTGCATTACTTAGCGTGCCACATGCTAGTGAAAACCAAATCATGGATAGTACCCATCATCTCAGGCAGGAGTTCAACAAAAGTATCATGGTTGATGGCATACCTGACGATTGTGAACATACTCCAGAAAAGCCGGAACATCGGGATAGCGACATGTTTCAGTGTTTTCAGCCTTAAGGGGTTTCTGAAAGCAAATGATGTCCCCGTCTTCAAGCTATAAAACCATACAAACCAGAAACATGCTTCTAATCAGATAATGCCAACAGTTGATGAAAGTGAGAGTAGAATAATGATATCAAAGAATAGCAATAGTTAATCATAAAAGTGCCGGCACTGCCTTAGAACATATACCTGACTACCCCGAAAAGTTAGCTTCTTGTCGATGTGTTCACACATAACATTGGGTTCAAACTTAATTTCCTGAATGCAAGGGAGAATATGAAGGCAACAATCTAAAAGATTCATGAGAATATAAACTTTCAACAGGAGAAAAGATATATGAAAGGGGAACCTCAAATAGTTCGATTTCTTCATCAGGTGCAAAGCCAGCCAGTTCATTCAGCCTTGCCAGTATTTCTATTGGCTTTCCGGTACCCTTCACAAAGAGCCGCCCAACATACCTGCCATGTAAAAGAGTTTCAGGTTTGCTGCTCCAACATGATATAAATGATTATAATGATAAATCAGTTTCAGGAACATTTGAGGTTGTGACTGGCAATTTGCCACATGAATAAACTTTCTTTGCACTTTTTGGCCATGTAAATTTACTAGTCACTTGGTCTGTCTTTAGGTTTGATCCAAGGGGCATGTTTCCATGTTGGTTGAGGGAAGAACAGTTAGTTGGTAATACTTGTCAGCTGTCACAAATACACATCAAAATTCCACCCATCTACTCTTCATCACGACCATATATGTTATTTCATAGCAATCGGAATTGGTCGACTACTGGTCCTCTATAACCCTGGTCCAACTCCATACTCTCCAATGTGCCTGAATACCTGCATGGTTTTTATATGCTCTCTTCGGTATAAATTGAACCCCTATCTTCTTTAAGCTGGTCTCCTTCCCCAATGGCTAAAAGCAATGACCCTTCACAGATGCAATAGGACACACCTCATCAACCATTTGTTTCAACATTGACCCATGATAGACTCCTTGAGGCTTGAGAAGAAAATCAAAGTGTCCTCAGTCTGAAGCATCTTTAGGAACAGATTCAGAGAACTGATGCGAAGATTCTGTCATGCATCAATCTACAGGCCCAAGCCCAATATTATGCTTGTTTTTTCTGGAAGGGGGATAGAAGGGGTAACTGGGTAATGTTAAATAAATTGGTATTATAAATAGGGTTTAGAGGGGGGGAGTAGAGTATGCAGAAAATTATAGGTTTGTTTGGATAGGAGAGACTAGCCTCTCGAATGCTAGATGTTCCATGTTTACCTTTCAATTAATCATTCAGCCGACTCAATTGCCTTTGTGATCTGTTTGTTCATAGATTGATAGTTTGGTTCAGAACAAATTCTTGGATTTGTGCTTTCAGCTAAGTTCTACAATTCAATTAGACTAAGACACTGCCACCGTTCTCTCAGAGCACCAGACATGCACATTGGCCTAATTCTTTTGCCCTCTTATGGGTGGGAGTAAAAAAAGTTAAGAGATTATAAGGTGGTTGAAAAACAAAAAGAATTACGCCATCTGAGAGAGGGATGCCACATCTGCAAGATGGAAGAATGCTGATTGGGTCTTTGTTGAGGAGACATATAGCTATAGGTCCCTACACCTAGTTTGTTTCCCTAATCCTGCATCTCCAACAACTCCTATGGACTTGTTACATATGTTATTCTTTGGAAGATCATTCAACTTGTTTGTGTAAGATATACACTCACTTTTGTTCTTAAGACACAGTGTGTCCTCACACATATGCTGATAAACCTTAATCTACAAAATACAGTGAAAGGAAAGGAAATAGAAGAAATGGAACAACATAAATGAAAATGAGAAGCAAAACATGATACTACAGACTACGGCCGAGTATTGAGGTGGATAACACAATATAAGAAAGATAATAAATTGCCACACTTTCCTTTTTGGATAAGGGAAAAGTCCAAAAAAACCCAACAAACTTTCTCATTTTGAATAGGGGGTGTGCACGGGTTAGGTTGGCAGTTTACAACATTTTTACAACCCAACCCAATTATGACAGTTTGAAAAAATCTCAACCCAACCCAACCCATTCAAAAGTATAACCCAACCCAACCCTTGTGGGTTGAGGCGGGTTGGGTTGGGTTGGGTTGGGTTGGCGGGTTAGTAGTTACATAATTTGACGAATGAACTAATTCATAAAACTTAAGTTTATAAACCATACTATAAAGTGTCATATCTAAAAAAGGTTACAATAGGTTTATAGGACGTTTTTGGATGTTCCAACAAGTGTTTTATAATGATCCTTAAATAAAATGTCGTATTAGTTATTTTATAGAAACATTTTGAGGTGTCTCGTAAACTCATCTATTTATAGGACACCTATGTTCATATGAAATTTTTTTAAGTCTGTCGTATAAAATAACTAATACGACACTTTATTTTAAAAGCGTCAAAGAATTTGTCAAGACATCCAAAATCATCCTATAAACATATTGTAACTCTTTTAGATAAGACATTTTTTTGTTTCGTCCTATAAAGTATCATATTAGGACGCTTAGACATTTTAGGCATCCTATAAGATCTAATATTGTTGTAGTGAAATGTTATAACTATGCATTTTCTTTCCACAAAAGTACAACATAAAATGACGAGGTATTTAGATTGATAGATTCGTCCATCAAATATCTATCAATATCATTCATATTCTACAACATATCAATTTGTTGTTGCTGCCAAAAAAATCCAATATTTTTTCTTATTAATTAGATTATGTGTCATCATTCTTTGATCGTGAATCTCTTTTGGTAACCTATACGTTTAGCTAAAATGAAACAAAACATAATATCAATAAAAAAATTTATATAAAATTTATACATTATTAATATATATACATAATAAACATATATATATAAATAAAATTTTATAAAAATTATATACTAGCGACGGGTTGGGCGGGTTGAGCCAATTTCAACCCTCCTAATTGGCGGGTTAGCGGTTTGGCGGGTTGGGTTTAATTGGGTTGTTAGCGGGTTGGGTTGGGCGGGTTTTGCCGGTTGACGGTTTTTTGTGCACCCCTAATTGTGAATGGTTTAGTCCCTAATGTATTTTTTTGAATAAAAAACCATTGAACTTTCTCATTTTGAATGATCAAGTCCCTGGACTATTATTCTGAATGAAAAAACCACTAAACTTTCACATTTTGAATGCTTAAGACCCTGACTTTTTTTTTAAAATAAATAAAACATCGAATTTTTACTAGTCGGTTAATGTAACTTTTTTGTGTTAAAAGGATGAAGGTAACCAATTTTTAAAAGTGCAATGGTTTATTTAATTAAAAAATGTTTAGGGACTTAATCAATCAAAAAGAGAAAGTTTAATGGCTTGTTCATTCAAAAAAAGAAAGTTTAATGGTTTTTCATTCAAAAAAAATAGTTCATAGACTTAATCATTCAACATGAGAAAGTTTAATTCAGGGACATAATCACGCAAAATGAGATAGTTCGTTGGGTTCTTTTTGAACTTTTCCCTTTCGGATAACCCATAATAATTGCAAATATTTTTCTAGCAAAGTTTTCATGATAAAATTGCCTATTTGCCCATTACCATCATTACCAATAAAACAATTTTCAAGGACAGTCAATGGACATGGTAGGATTTTCAAGTCAATTTCCTTACATCATGCCAAGTCAACGGATGGTAGGATTTTCAAGTTACATGAAAGTAACAAGTCAACCAATTTTTTTGCAGCAGGTAGCAATGATATTTTGAAGATCACAAAAAGACATACTTCAACGCCAAAGAGGAGAAGAGGGAGAAAGGATACCGAAGTTCCTCCTTCAAAGGATCATAAAGTTTGAAGAAAAGTAGAATCTCCTCTTTAGTCTTCTCAGGTGGAGAAATTGGGCGTAAATCCTACATTGATAAGGTTGGTTGTTATACTTCCAAGGAAAACAGCGTCTTTTACAACACAATGAGATGTTGAATCATCATCCACTAACAGTTCAGAAAGAAAACATGTCATCAATAAGATATTACCTGTCCAAGTTCTACTTCCAGAAACAGCTTAAGCTCTGCGTTGTTTGCCTTATTTGATACCTCTCTCAAATGCCCAACCTAAACCATCAATATCATTATGCATGTGTACAGAAAATTTTTGAACAGACAAAAATGAGAGGCTGGCATAACAGAAAAAAAATACATGGGCTTCCTCCACTATCTACCAATCAGGCATTACAGAGCCTTGTGGCTGCAGTTTCAGGTCATAAAAAGAAACAACTTACAGGAAACGCTTTGTTGTTAACTTCTAGTTTAGTTGACAGATCTAGTTGTCTTATGTTTCACCAACATCGAGTGAATGAAAAACTCTAGCCATATTGAATGCATCTGATTCAACGCTTCTCACATGATAGCTAAATTTCACTTTTTTTAAGAAGAATAACTTTTTAGATGTCATCAACGAGGAATGGGCCAGCTGTTTTATATTGACAGTATATGGGCCCTATACGGTATCTGACTGGTACCCAACAAAGATGAATAACTTTACAGGCAATTATGTGATCCATAACAGAAATATTTATGCATCAATCCCCTAATTTCAACCCAACTAAAAAATCCTTATATTAATCAAACAACAAAAATGAAAAAAAGCAAGCACTTAATACAAAAGTCTGAGAGCCAGCTTCTCTCTCCTAATTCCTGGTTCAAAAACTCTACAGTATTCATCAAGTTGCAATTGACAAGAATAAAATCCAGCTATAGTTTATATCAATTAAGTGTGTAGTCCCCCATGCGATTGGACTACCCACAACTAAAGGACACGAGCAAAGCTGGATACTTACCACTAACATTTCTAAAAGTGTAATGCATACACCTAATTAGTAGTGAACTTGGTATGCCATTAGAAACAGTAATTTAAAACACAAAAAATAAATGTATAACTTAGTCAAAGGAACACAAGAATTAATAAGTACATACAGACTGAGCTTCTTCTTGAGGCGTCAATGGACGATTCGGGCGATAAGTGTGATTTTGACGCTTTGCCCATAGCCAGAAACGTTGGTATTGCACAGGTATACCCAATTCTTTAGCTACATCCTCCTGAATAATTTGAGAATACGGCAAAATAATTATTAAGACAAAAGTACGTATGATGGTATCAAAAATTGTAACGTGCTCAACCTATGTTGTTCCATCTTCTAAAAGGCTAAAGAAGTGCTATTCTCTAAACCACTTGAGTAGACAATCCCACCATCATTATTTGATAGAAAAAGAAAAAAAAAACTACAAAAGGGTACTGTCCAGTTTACCTGTTTTGCAGTATAGTTGGTTGTGCATGGGTTCAAGAGAGAAAGTGGCGTTTAAAATACTTAAACACGACTTCCTAAAAATTTAGGTGTTAGCTAGAAGTTGTGCATCCTTTTAATGGCATCATATGGCCTACATTCTGGCTATAGTAATAGAACATAGATGAAACAAAGTCAAGACTGCAAAGACAATAGTAAAGCCACAACGCTTGCTACATCTGTCACAATCTCACAGACCGAATATTATTGACAAACAGATCCCAAGTAACTTTTTGAAGAATCATTGAATTACCAAAAAAGTATTTATATTTATATCATTTCTAGAAAATAATATAATATACCAACACAAGCTAGTTTAACATTACATTCGTTTGCTACATCAGAGAGGAGACAGTTCAATGCAAGAAAGACTTCAATGCAGTAACTGGTACTGATTTTAGCAACCAAAAAGCTATCGAATGTGCTATGAGCAAAATTAAAAAAGCTAAACTCAAAGGAAAGGAAAAAGAAAAAATAATTTATATCTTACCTTGAAAAGCGCAAAAGATATTTGTTTTTGGATGCGAAAGCTACGAACTTTGTCATGATCCACAAGATCAAAATATATATCCTTCCCTATCTGTTCACGGAGGTCCTCATCTCGAGCAACCTAATGAAGTTAAATAACTGGGCAAGTCAAAAATGATTCTGGCACACGATATGGTAAATCAAGCAGGACTTAGAAAGTTGACCTTTATAATAGTATATAAATGTGCTTCTGCTTTCTCCTTTCTCTTTTGCTCCTTTTCTTCTTGTTCTTTTTTCAACCTTATCTGAAAGATGATGGAGCAAGTTCAGTATAGTTTGTGGGTACAAGGAAAAAAATCTATATCAAAAGATAAAATATTTTACCCTTAGGTGCTCTGCTATGTCCTTCTCATCCACGTTACAGATTATTTTCTCCTTGTCACTTTCACGTATATACACAAGCATATATGCATTTGAATACTTTGTAAATTTAAATGGAGAGTTATTGAACCCAGGATTTGCTTGAGGCAACTGTCACATGAGTACAAAAATAAAATCAGAAGAAGTTAATAAAAACAGTATAGCAACATTTATATATATCATAACAAGTAATCTATTAAATCACCTCCTCCTCGCCCCCATACTGTTCATCCAGTGCCCTCTTCATGTCTTCTTTGGTTACACGTTCATCATCAAATTTAAACCTACAGTAAAACAAACTTCAGTTATGCCATGAACGAACTCGGAGGCATGCCAGGGATCTAATGCACATGAAGTCAGAGTACATCAGACAAACAAACCAGTCTCGGGTAACAGGCTAACAGCTATTTGGATACTAATACTAAGCAAGGAATAATGCATCCAAGGCTGTCTTCCCATTCCCCTATCATCTTAGTCAGCGAAAACGACCAATCCTGAAAGACCACTCTTTCATCTAAGTGCCAAATGACTCCGTCGATAAGAGCTCTTGGGAGTCATCAGCCTGTTATCATTCGTGGCATGTCAAGCCCTGGTAAGGCTCTTTGCTTTGCATCGAAGGTAGCAAATGGTTATCCATTAAGTGGAGAAAATATTAGTTAACATAGACCCCTCTTGCGTACTTACGAATGGAAAGATTTTTCTGTATTCAAGTCCTCCCTTCAAATAACTACGCTGATTGTAGTAACCTGAACAGGTAAAAACCACAAATGCTGTGGATAGATGACTTTTGGCTGGTACAGCCACTTGATTGTCCACAAAAAGTGTGGATTTTCAAGAATGGGAATCTTATGATATGTTGGGAATCTCTTATAAAGCACAATTTTTTTTGCCAGTAACAGTAACTAACTAGTTTCTAGTATATGTTAATGCATTTTGACCTTCAAGTGAATAAGCCTTACTTAAAGGTATTCAGAGTGCTATACTCCTCAAGGACTTGCATACACATACATTAGGCCAAGATTGATAACCAATACAAAAAATAATGAGGCATAACACATTTGACATGATGAAACAAGAAAGAACAGCAAATGCCACCAAAAAATGACATCGTATATAGGAAGCGGATAACCAAAAATGTCCATGTCTGCAAATAAGCAAAATATGCAAAACACAATATTTTTGTCGCTTTCACTTCCATGCAGATGTAGCCAACTTCATAAAAAAGCATGCATGTAAAATGAGTAAGTGAAACATAGAAGTGGGTACTTGGAGATTAAAAACCAACACTGAGGTGGAAAACAACACAAGCTCATAAATTAATAGTAATTATGATAGTTCACACCATTGATCTGAAAGGGTTGGCCGGATATAGGCATAATAATGTCCACCATGTACCCCACCGCTGTGAACCAATACACTGCATGAAAGGTGATATTGCAAAATCATCAGAAAATTAGTATTAAGAAAATGCAGAACATAAATATGAGAGAAAAATGTCATATGGGATAATCTTATTTCTATCAACAGCCAGATACAAAAATCACTGGGGGAATAAATCAACAGTATTCAAGAAAGGAAATTTTAGAGTAAAAAATTCAAATATAGATGATAGGACCAACAAAACAGAATGAAGCTGGTTCAATGGAATTCATCAAACATACAGAGGATGGTCATGGAAACAATCTTGCTCCTTAAATGAAAAACCACAGAATTACATGCTGAGAGATAGGCGCTATTCCCTACTGCCTTGGCATTTCAATTATTTTCAAAGTAAACATTTTTCATCTTTTAGATCCCCCAACCCTTTTCCAGTTTACAATCCAGTGCATAGCAGGTTTCCAGCATTGGAGAAAGTAAATTGCTAGATGTCTCATAAATAGCAATTGGTATTTTACCCTAACCCTTTATGTGACAGAAGAGAAGCAATTTAAGTAACTTTTAATCATCAAAAGGAGAGGCTTGTTCCCTCGGGGAAAAAAAAAACAGCATTTGTAACTGTTACAGACAATGAATAATACAGCTAAGATCAGTACTTAGCACTCGAGTTGATTATAAGCATCAAACATGCTTTCAAGCACCCTCGAGAAGCACAACATGTTCATAAACCAAACTGGTCTATGTTCAGACCAGATAAAGATTGGTCCGGATTTTATACTTACTTTTTTAAATCCGTTAATTTATTTTTGTAACGACCCAGACCGGACTTTTTCTGGACCGATCCGAGTTCCTTATTTACCTTGCCAGATCCGGACCAGTTCAGCTATTTCCTAGACCACGTTGACAAGCTTTTGGCCAGACCAGGCTTTTTCGGACCAACTCGTGTGCAACCCTACCTTTCTCTACCGGCCTTCTCTATTTTAATGCTGATTTTCACCAACTCAAAATACTAACTGCTTTTCTAAAACAGCTTTAAAGATGTGATTTGACTCATGCTTTTTAGAAACTTCAGAGACGCCAATAGTTATATAGCATAAACAAAATGATTTGTAAACGGAGGTCAAATACTTGTATCAAAATTCAGAAGGAAATATCCAATTAAATAATAATACCTGTGAAGAGTGTAAAGGTTGCGAACACTTCTGTCTGCCTGAGGTGATAAATATTTCCCATCCTCTCTATCAAGATCAAGTTGCAAGGGGAATTCGTAGCGATCATTTATCTGGTTAGCCAGATAGGTTCAAATAGAAAATCACAAATGAGAGGACTGATCATCAATAAGCCTTCTGCTATAACAATCCTCATTGTAATAACAGAGACAAAGCAAAAATGGTTCACCATTTGAATAGAATCTCATAAGTTGAATTAAATTCAAAGTCAATACATCTAGGAGTTGTGAACATAAACATAACAGTAGATAGATGATAGTATATTCAATCTATATCCAACTCCTGAGAGGAAAGCATCACTGGCCGACAAAACAAAAAATTTGATAACAAAGCAGCAACGGCTCAGAAGAAGAAAAACAGAAAATATTCTTAAGGAGGCACATGCTTCACTTGATGATTTAATTTAACACAACTCAATCAAATGAAGTTGATTTCACACCTTTAAAGTAATGTACTACAAAAGTAGAGTAAAACTACATGTTATATGTGTTTTCTTGTTGTGGATTTTATTGTTTAAATCTTGTTTTATAAGATATATGGTTGATTTATAGGTCTACTATTTTAATGAACGTATAAATGAAACTGGGAAAAGAAGAGTCTAAAAATGGTTCATAGATAGAGAGGAGCAAGAGAAGGAGAGGCAGAAGCAGCACATTGACCCTTAAAACAAGAAAATTCAAAGAAGAGTTTATAACAATCTGGCAGAATGCAATGGGCCAAAAAAGCACCAAGCTGTCAAGTGCACACAAAAGAAAAAAACTTCTTGGAGATTCTGAAAGATGGGACCAAGTTTTTTGGGACTCTTACCATTGGGAAGGATGTGGGTATGGGAAGAGGACTTTCATAGTTTGAGCACAGGACCAATAAATGAAGCAACCGCAGTGACAACCTTAGGATGGAGAAAATATACTAAAAACATGTACATACACATCACATTTGTATGACCATGGTAGCCAAAAGTGCAGCTGGAGAAAGCAAATATCATCGATCATAGCGTCTAAAGATACCTACCGCATAAGTAACGGAAAATGTTAGGTTGAAAACTACACCTAATATAGCCGCTAACCATCGAGAAGGAATACTTTGTGGAAACCTAAATAAATACATTGCACAAGCGAACAGAAAATTTCGGATGATGGAAGTGTGTCATAAAAAGAGTGGCCATCAATCAGGGGCAAAAAAACTTAAATTAACATCATTACAAAAGTCTATAAAAGCACTTCATATAAACAGTGATCATGCCATATGTAGGCAATATATCTAACAGAGTAAAGCTGCTATGATGAGTGACTGACCTTCACCATTGTGTCTCGCATGAAATCATATTCAAAACGCTTCAACTGGAGTTGAAGAACAGGGGGGAAATCAATGAACAGGACGCCCTTCTTTGCATCCTGTAAGACCATATTCACAGGATTGTTTGTAAAGCCCAAGATAATAGTACACATCAAACTCAATTCAAACAAAAAAAATGCCACCTAAGCATAGGGCTTAAGTTTCAGTCAAATTTTATAGCTAAAGTCACATTTGAACAAGAAGTCAAGTTAATGCACCTTCTTTGCAGTATCATTTCATGCTATTCTGACTCATTTGATGTAATATTTGAGTTGAGTGTGAATTATTGTACGTGAGATAGGTCTTCTCAGTTATTGGGATATCTCTCTCACAAATAAGCGCCATATTATCTTTTTTCTGGAAAATCGCACGTACACCGTTCTGGTATTTGGCCTTACTGCAATTTGCAATCCAAATAGGCATATTGGCTAACCCTGCTAGTGAGTTAGTAACCCTATTGTCAATTCAAGCTTTTGAAGCAATATTTCAACATGGTTTTAAGTGACTATAGATTTATCGGGTAATTTATTAAATCAAGTTATTTAATAATATTTTCAAGAAAAAGTATAATTTAAAAATATCCCAAGTCATATTTACCAAAAAGGAAAAGAATTTTGAAAACACCACCTCCTTCCCTTCCTTTTTAGGCGATAATTTAACACCACCACACATCAAAACACAGCCCTCTAACTACATAACCGCTACCCCGCATCACAAGATCTCACAGTTCCAGTAAAGGAGGACTAAAAGCAACAAAACAGCCACAACCACCCACTACGTAATTTCACTCCTTCAGTCGCTATATTTTGATCCTCTCACACCAAATAGAACGCGTCATATACACATGCATACAAGCAGACATCTGATTGTGTTGAGAGGGAAAAAAAGACGTATATGAGATTGAAAACTTGGAACTCTGATTGTACATTGAAAAGGAGATGAAAGAGAAACATGTAAAATTCAAAATTATATCAAGATTCAAGACTTGTGCACAAAAGCAGAGACTGAGACAAGAAATTTTTCAAAATTTACAACTTTATGAAGAATACATTATGATAAACAAGTGTATCTGATTGCAACTTCAATGGGTCAAACTGATCTCCATCATTGGCGACTTCCACCACAGGCTCCATCACATTATATATGGGAGATATATGTTGAGAGATTATTGGGTCTATAGCATATTATAGAGAACTTCTTCAAGTGTAAATCAGTCATCAGTAATTGATAGTGTTTTTAGGGGTGGAGGGGTGCAAGAGCAGTGGTGAGCGGGTGATCTGGTTGTGCCATGAGTGTTAGTGTGGTGGCTGAGAAGGTTTAGTGGTGTGTTAATCTCTTTCTACGTATTTTATTTTAGAAACAAAGCTATTTGTGTTTATACCCCTATGTTTTTTAATATTAATTACACAAAAAAACTATTTTCCCCTTTGGGAACCAACAGCAATCGACCTGAGTATACGAAAGGGTAGCTGTTTTGGAGCTAATAATGAAGAAATTATGTGACAGATTGCAATATAGCCATATACCAGGGAGTGCAAATCCAATTTCCCCATTCCACAGAATCTTAAAGTAATCAGTCTGTGGTTCAGAACCAGCACCAAACTAGAAACTTGCAAATAATAGATTAATAAATATCAGAAAATTGTGCATCCAACCTGTAACCCAAGTTGTTCAGCATGATATCTGTTGTCACCTTCAAGCCGTTCTACTTCCACGTACTTGTCAAAAGAGGCATACACATCACGGCAACCTTTGACATCAAGCTGAAGATCTGACATAATACATTGATTAGTAAGAAACTGAAGATTCACATGATAATTGTCATTCTTCAGTGACATTTCTACCATAAAAAGACTCCTTTCTTGTTGATTTGTAGTCAACGTTTATGCATTCAATATAGTTCATATGGTGTCCTTCAAATAATTGCTGTATTGTACCCTCCACAACTGTTCCCTGTGCAGTAAAATGAAGGGTTACATAAGTAGGAAACATCAAGAAGTAGCAATATTCAAGTATGATAACAAAAGAACCATATACCTTCATTTTGTCTTCAAGCTTCTCACAGAGAACCCGATTGAGTTCTTGAACATCATGCTGCATAAAAGAATCATATGTATCCCAGCCAAAAGACTTTGTCAACTCTTTCGTGGCAACACTTGTGTCACTGTATTGAAGCTTATAAAATAAACTCTGCAAAGCCAGAGGAATGCTCCCTGATGGCATATCATTTTCAGTTGTTGGCATATGATACACAGCCTGATCAAAAATGTAAAATGTAAGCATTTCCTTTTAAATGTTATCAACGAAATTGACTGATGTACCAAAAAGACCAACCTTCCTAAAATAAGGGATATGGTATAATGTCTGAAGCAGGGAGTTCATGTAGCAGGTAGCACCTTGATTCTTAAGACCAACATAACCAGTCTCCTTCTTTGAATCATGTGACCAGTAATCAACAACCTTCCGCACTGTAACATCAGCTTCAACTATGCATGTATCATTCAGAAGATAACCTCTACTGGGGTCATATAGGTCACTTAGAGGCATAAATGAAGTGAAGCCCCAATCACTTTCTCGTGAATTGAACTGATGTTGTGTATCTGCAGGATAAAAGATGCCAAAATTACAAGCCAAATGATGAAGAAAAAAGAACAACAGATGGAACAAAATGAACATCTGAAAGAATACTTTTAAGTTCTTCATAGCAAAATGATAAAGCCTAAACCAAATTACATCTTACAAAAGGCAACCTGAAATAAATTGATATGAGGAGTCCATTTGATCTCATTTTTCAGCTCAGGATGATTTGACTAATTACCTGGGTGTGTCTGTATTTTAGGTTGTCACTTCCTGTGCTATTTACAAGAACACATGATATTATGTGTACACACTATTAAAGAGATTCAAGGAGGCTCGATGCTGTTCTCAACACCAGTTGTTTTTTGCCACTCATTTTTCACAATATTCTTCAGAAATTTCCCTCAATTATTSTATCCCTGACTACTCATAGTCAGTTAAATTTTTTCGAAATATAAGMTATTTTGATATAATGATAGAAAAGGAGTTCTTTTGTCTCAAAATCTGAATAATATTCATATTCATTATTTAAATTCTTCCGGGCATTCATYGAAAGGAGATATGTGCTTCGAATTTGACCAATTGAGATATAGGGAAACAATATTTTTGATTATTTATTCATTCGAATTTTTCGCCTATTTCTGTATTTTTTTCGAGATTCAAGGCCTAACCACGAAATCACAAATAAAAAAGAGTGCATAGATTCAGAGGTTCGATAACTTGTAATAGAACAGACGTGTGAGAGAAATATTAGGTTGCATAGAGTCGACGAACCACCCAATATTTTACCATAAATAAAATATACAAATACTTGTCGCCCATCCATTCCAAAATGTATTATAGTTTGATTTTTCATATCGCCAACCTCTCCTCACAATATTTCAAATCACAGAACCCAAGTTTTGATGTGTTTGGACACAAGAAGCACCCAATTTCTATATATAATAAAAAAACACATACAACTCCATAGAAAAATAGAGTAGAAAAAAAAAGCAAACAATTATCGGTAGAATTTGGTTGAAAACTAGGGTTTATATCTTCATAGATTACAATGGAACAATCTTATGCTAATTTAATTTGCTCCTATCATCTTTACTGTTGGTGGTGTTCAAGTAAAGAGGGGACAAGGGTAGAGGCTCTACAAGGAAGATCAAGATACGGAAAAAAAGAAAAGAAATGTGACTCTTGGTCAAATAAGGTGTTAGTATCTTTTAATTTGGAACTAAATAGAAGACAACAAGAGAAAAGATAAGGTTAAAAATTGTTGTATGAATTTGGAAATCATTTAGACTTGGTCAATAAGAAGAAATCAGCAGCAAATTTAGGTACCCTGCTCATTCTTTCTCATATATATTATTACCTAATTCTATTTAGGTCCTTTTTATGCATTCTAGATACCAATATCATCCTTTTTTATAGAAATAGAGTCAATAATCCAGCCCCAAATCCATGCTAGCTATTTTTTATATCAACACAGCGTATCTTCTTTAAGATCTACTGAGTTCAAAGCACATTATTAAAACCATATATACATACACATGTAAATCTCTGCATGCATATATACAAACAATAGGAATGTATAAGCACACACGTCTATAAATACATTTAGGTCCTTCTTATGTATTTCAAATACCAATACCACCTTTTTTAATGAAATAGAAAACAGCAGCCCCTAATCTACGCTAGCTATGCAATTTTATATTAACACCAGGTATCTTTTTTAAGATTTACTAAGTTCAGAAGAACACATGATTAAAAACCAAATTCACATATATATCTACATGTATAAATACAAAGAATAGAGTGTATAAATACAAAAGATAGAGATGTATAAACACACACACACACACAAACATTTACAATTACATGTATGTATATATGTACATATAAGATGTGTTGAACAACCTAAGTAAATTACTTAACAAGACTACTACCCTCCCCCCCCCCCCCCAAAACCCCCAAAATGTCCTATGTGCTAATAACTACCCATAATCTGTATCAAGAAAACAATAAGTACTGCAATGACAAGTGATGACAACGGATGGAAACGTCAGCATATCAATCATGGTGGTGTCAGGATACACAGAAAAATATTTTATCTACGAACAGAGCAGGTATGTATTGAACATAAATAGATATGCATTATTTAAGAAGAAAACTAACAGTTTACAAATTTCAATGACCTAGAGTATTCGTAAAGAGCTCCACAATAATCTATGCCATCCCAGCACTTGTCATAAAACCAAATACGAGCATCGAATATTGGCTTATATAATTTTATTATCCGATTACATCATAAAGAGACACCATTTTATTATTACTTGGTGTCTCTTAGCGGTAGCCAAAAGTCTTTTCATACCTTATGACCAGAAGCAACACACAGTTATTCTTTAACTCTTTTTCTTCTCATACATAATTGACATACCAAGCCTATAAAATGATTATAACGGTTGGGATGCTTAACTTGAAACATATATGGAATCATGAGAACATAAATACTTCTCATGACTAAATTCCCACTTTAGACTCTTATACAAGTTGCAAAAAGGGCCCTCACTGTAAACATGACGCACAAGATCATAAACAAGACAAAAAGAGCTCCATCCCCAAATTAATCTGGCAGCAACCAACAACTAAGTCAAATGATTTAAGATATTCCACATGCAAGACCAGTCTACCAAGAGCTTCCCTTTTCTCAACATGTTATAAAATGCCAGAATAGCTTCAAGATGGCATGCCATGAGCAAACGAAAACTATAGTCAAGAAGCTTCGACATCCCAATACTTATCAATTCAAAAATCAGTCTTGACATATGAGAGAAGACGACCTCTCTAACTAGATGATTGCCAATATCTCCCAACAGAAGTTGCAGAGTACCAGAAGGTTCGATCGCCCAAGAAAACTAGACGGTTGGGCCCCTCAAAAGTACCTTCTTCTCACATCATGATATTGAGTATCCAAGTCATAAATTATTCAGTTCTATAAGTTTATGATGTTCATAGATCATTTATCCCATGCTAATCAAAGTATGTGTTTTCTTTATGGTTTTATCCAATTTGTGCTCAGATGCTATTCCACGAGAATAATGGACTATCCCCGATTTAAAGCCAATCATAGATATAATTCAGAGAGCATCAAAAATAGTAGTAAACATCCCAATCCACCTCTATCCAGACAGAGGGTCTCACTTTTGTTTATTACAGTTGGCTTTTGCAGATTTTGCACTTCAAGGCATATAAGATCGATGAAATGGTACGTATTTTCTACAGAAACAATGAGAATTTACCCATCGTAAAAGACTGCCAGGGACAGTGGAAACTAGTATTTTCTTTGGTGTCAATTTAGCACTTGTCTGAGCAACGGCTAAACATATGTTACAGCAATATCAGCCAGATGGAAAATAAATATGTGTCTTTTCCAATTTATTCTTCTTCTCTGATCTTTTGGAGAAGAGGGATTCTAGAGAACATGCAGTACAAGTATATGCCAAGACAGACATGTGAAAATGCACCAAAAACTTTCATAGCATATGCTTTTTTTCTAAACAAAACGGCCTACAAGTTTAATTGACATGCAATGTCATGACCACCAAGACAGCAAAATAAATAAATAACTACTGAGATTTAAAAAACAAAAACAAAACACAATAAGACAAAAGGATCAAACTTCATGACTCAACAGATGACATCAGTCACAACGACGTTCCGCCAATTGTGGAAATTATGTTAGTAATTCAGGCAGTAAGAAACTCCGTGTTCGTTTGTGACTCAAAATGAATTATGTCCAACAATATAAGAATCACTTAAAACTGACGGTAAACATAGTATTATTTCTCTCCTATGTTGTGCAGACCCATTTGAAGAGACACATAGCTATTGTCGATTTATCTCTAAGCATGGGATTAAGTACTATAGCTGGTCAGTCATTAGAGGAATGATTGAATAAGTTGGCACATTGACAGGGCAAAGTAATTGGAATTGTGGAATTTATGTTAGACTTGAATGCAAAACTTCCATAACATGTTTAATGTGTTTTCAAGATTTTCTATCCAATTAATCTTTTCATGTTATTGGCAAATTCCTACCTTTCAGGTTTATATTTTATTTTCCAGTTTCATAGTTCATCTACACAAAGGGTATCCCATCTCAAAGCCTTTGTCTATGGAATTTTACTTTATAGGAAAAAGTATGATAAAATAATTACCTTTTCTAATGGTAAACTTGTTATGAATTTGATTAACCACTGCTAAGCTGAATTGAGCATATCTACTCCAGCCATATGGCAGCGTTGAGGAGTCAGCGACATCAAGGTACATTGACAGATGGTCAACATTGTTTCCTTTTGGGAATATCAGCACTCGCCTGCCCATGCAAAACACAATGTAAACAGAATCTCATAAGCCAATCACCACAGTCATGTCTTAAGAGTGAAAACACAACACACCATCTTAAAGGACAAAGATGATGGCTTCAGATCAACGTACCATTTATAACCTCCGACAAAGAAAACGTCAGAATACAACTTTTTGGCATTCAACCTCGAAAAATTTTCTATGGTCCATGTAAACCGTGCTGATGGTGGATCATCAACAGTTGGTGCATCGACAGAATTGGCAGCTTCTGCTGGTGCAACTGACAAAAATTGGTATCACTCGTGTTAAGAAAGTTTGAAGAGCAAAGAGTAAAACAGCATTGCAATCAATTGTATCAAATTCCATATACTGACACCGGCATCAACATACACACAAAAAAGATCAAGAAAGGTAATGAATCGAAAAACATAGTCTGCAGTACCTTCCATTGGCTGAGGCCCTTCTGTGGCAGCGAAATCGGAATGTGGGACTAGCATCTCGTCCTCCTCTGCCTGCAAGATTAAATTCAATAAACAAATGAATTGGATCTGATAAGAATTATTAAAAAGTTCCGGATCAATCAGAATTCAAAACCCTAGAAATCAAGAATTCCCCCAAAAGCGCAATAAAGAAAACAAGAAATTGAAGCCACTTAACATCATATTTAACATCTTTCAGAAAGATCGTTTATGAGATCACAACTCGATAAGCCGATTAAGTGAGTATGAGGAAGCAAGCGATAGCTAAAACAGTAGATATAGAAACATAACCATCCATATATGTGTGTTGCGTGTGCATGTGTGTCAATGAGTGAGAAAGATGCAGGGTGTGTGTATGCGTGTATGTATATGAGTATGGATAATTGTAATTACATCCATGGGAGGAGGTGTCATCAGAGTCATCGGCGGAGATTGGTGGCCGAAATTGGTGAGCGAATTGACGGTAAGAGGTGGAGGAAATTTTGAGGGGGGGTCTGTAGAAAACGTGGGTCGATAGAGAAAAATATAAAGGGGGTCTTGGCTGGGTTTAGAAACACGGAAGGGTAATTTCGGGCCGAGAAACGACGTACAAAGTTATCACGGGTAATAATAGAAAATACCAACATCATCAAACTTATCGCCAATCTATAGTTTCTCCCTTTTTAAAACGATGAGAAGTAAATCGTTTAATGTGACAAGATATATTTTGATTTTAATGTTTTATTTTATTCTTTATTTTTAATGATGTTATAAAATGGTTTAACGTGTTTTTGAAAAAGCGATAATCGTTTTTATTTTTAAATAAAATATAAAGGTGAAGATTTCTTAAAATTTTGAAAATATATATATATCTATACTATATTATAAAACATTTGACAAAAACTCTTAAAAATCATTTTTTATACATAAAGTACTGTTTATTAATGCATATTACTTAAAACTCAATATTACAAGTAGATTGTGCGTAAGTACAACTTATTAAAGCTACATATCTGAATTAGTGTAACTAACTGCAGATAAACATAATCAAATATATGATAAACATCTCATTTTAAATATAAAAAATCCAAAATATAATTAGGATCATCATTGAGTTCTAACAGAATACTTAATTATTATCTTTATAAAATGTTATATTGTTAAACCAATAATAAAAAATGAATTAAATAAATACTAAAAGAACGAGCAATATTAAATAGTTAGTCTGGTACTAATATTTATGATATCTTCATATTTATATTTTATTCAAAAATAAAAACATTATCGCTTTCTCAAAACCACATAAAACCGTATTATAACATCAACTAAGACAAAAAAAAAACGAAACACTAAAATCGAGATGTATCTCGCTGCATTGTGCGAATACCCTTCTAGTAGATATTAGTAACAAATTAACTATTTAAATGTTCTCGTTTTTAATAATTTTTAATTATAATTTAATTTAGACTTAATAACGAAACAGTTTTTTATGTATTTAATAATACAAGTTTTTATAAAAAAAATAATTAAGTATTTTGTCACACTCAATCTAGTCTTACTCCAGTTGAATATTACATTAAACAAATGTTTGTTACGTCTTATCGTGTTCCATTTATTTTAAGGTATCTAAAACAATTCTCTTACAATAAGGGGATAAGTTTTCAGTTATGTGGTCAAATCCCTATTGAAATAGTTACTGTTGTCGTACCTAACACACTCATTGACTTGCAATATAGACGTATATTTTATCTTCTATGAACCATTAAAGCTACTCGTTTTCAATTGATTTGTGTTTAAGTTTCACCTCTCTTTGCCCTTTGCCCATCATTCCAATAATTCTCTTCCATATACACGTGAATCAACAGTTTAAACCAACTCATTCTGATAAATAAAAAAGTAGGAATAAGAATAATTAAAGGACCAATAAACATATTAAGAGGGTGTTTGGAATTGCTTATAAAAACAACTTACTGACATATTCCGACGTGGTACCGGTAATAAGCATTTTTGAATGTTTGGATAAACAACTTATATCGGTGTCAAACCGGTAATAAGAAGTTTTTGAATAAGTTAAACTCTTCTGACTTATAATAAGTTGATACGTACTTTTGTATAAAAGCATAAGTTGTTTCATATAAGCAATCCCAAACACCCCCCTAAAATCGAAGAGATATTCAATTCAATTAGGAGTTGCAAGGGTTAGACAACACAAATAGGGGACAACTTGATTGCCATGTTGATTAGATAAAAGAGCTTATGGTCATTGGCAATTCCATTGACATGAAGGAGTTAGTGACTGTTTGGTTATGTTTTTATTAAATCATGTATGAATAAAATTGTGTATGTTAATTAATTTGTCTGTATAAATTAATAAGGTTTCTGTTTAAGAAGGTGTTTTCATATACGGAATAAGCGTGTTTTTTTTTCATTGGGAGAGTAAGGTGGTGTTTTTTTTTTTTTAAAGCTCTTATTTTACCACTTATGTCTGATTCAGTCAGACATAAGGAAATTCAGACCGTTTGTTTTTCTTTTTATTTCAGAGCCACTTATCACTTATTTTCCTCTTAAAAGTTAAGTGATAGCCTAGCCACTTATTTTCCTCTTAATCCTGAAAATTATCCAAAGAACAGATTTCTACTTCATCATTCGATCGACTTCACCCTCCTCATCGTCTCAGTCGATCAAGTTCACCCTCCATCGCCTCTGGTGGCTTCAAATCGACCCAAATCAGATCCAAATCAAGAGGCTTTCCTTCCCTGCGGGTTTTCGCTACTGTGTGTTTCCGTTCATGTCCAAACCAGTAGTTGTGCACCTTTTATCCTCGTGAATCAAGGTATTTTTGTCCCTATAGTTTTCGTCACTGTAGTTTTCATCATGATGGATATTTGCTTCGATTTTAGAGGTGGATTTGGATGTTAGATTTTAGAGAAGGAGTGGTGGTGGACGGTGGTTAATGGTGGTGGGATAAGGGTGGAGATTGAGGATGGAAGGCTTGATCTGGAGGAGAATAAAGAATTAAGGGAATTTTGGGAACATAAACAAAAGTGAAATCAGAAATTATACATATTGATATGTTTTGTTGGTTACAAAAGCAAACTATTGATTCAGATTTCAGACTTCAGACGTTGCCAGTTTACAAAAACAAACAATCTGACTGATTCAAATTTCAGACTTCAGCACCACCTCTTAAAAATCAGAAGTGAAATCAGACTTCAGACTTCAGCACCTCTTAAAAAACAAACGGCACCTAAGTGGGAAAAAGTGGACTTTCTGTATAAAACTTTCATTTAGAAGTTTACTTAACAAGTCATTCTTAACATTATAAATCACTGCAAACAATAATATTACGGATTAAGCAGCAAATCTCATTAAACTTGTTAAGAGGCTAACAAATAGACCCTCTAGACTGTAAGATACCTCTAATCACTTGGAGCCTAATATAAAAAACAATATCCCTGACGAGTCTTGTCCGCACCTTTATCTCAATGCTTAATGTTTGGTTTTAGTTTGGATATCGAGGGCATACAATTATATTAGTGGAAGGCTTTATAATACTTTTAGGTTGTGTTTTGGTACATGAGACAAGACAGGATACGATGTGACAAAAGTCACTATCAGACGGGTGGTGCGACATGGGACAAGGTGAAGGACAAGAATCGAGAGAAAGCATGATACTGTGAGCCAAAAAAAAAAAAAAAAAAAACTTTTTGTTTGTTCCAGCAAAATAGGTGACACTTGTTTGATATATAACATTAATATGTTATTTGTTTTAATGGTCACCACCGTCGGCCACCTTTAATCCCTGCTCCACTACTTCAACCTCATCCACCACCCCCATAACCATTGTCAACCATCAACTACTACCGTCCAACGCCACCACTACTACCATCGTTAGCCACCTTCACCTTTCTCCTCTATTGCAACAACATCATTTACCACCATTATTACCATCATTGGTCACTTCACCTCTACCATAACCACCACCATTTGCTACCACTACCACTATCGGCTACCACCACCATTGTCTACTATTTTCACGTCCTCCACCACCACTCTCAACATAACCAACACCATCTTTGCCAATTGATAATAATCTTTTAAACCGAATTAAACATAACTTATCCCTTTGTACATATTAGGGGTTTTCAAACTACCATCAATGATATCAAAATTTTAAATCAAATTTAGTACTATTATAATATATGTATGTATTATATATATGAAAATTGCATAAAAATATTTATAAATTAAATTATTTATTTTATTTGTATTAATTATAATTATTATATGATATATAAAATTATCAAATAATTTTAGAGACAACTTATTTAGCTCTGATATATCTAGCACTAGTTGTACCAAACACTTGTTTTGTCTAGTATTATCTATTGTTCAATCATGTCCAATTTTATCCAATAATATTTACATACCAAACAATATCTTAAAAACAATCATTCGAGCCCTCCAGGAATAGATGATAGAATATTAGAATAGCATATAGTGGGCTTCTTGATTGGGCCAAATGTTAAATCCCTACCTGGGCTTTGAATGGATTTATTATTTTTACAATAAAAATGGGCTTTTATTCTGTGGGTTTGTCACCTCCACCGCTCCACGCCTGACGTCGAAATGTACCTGTGTATCTAATGGTATTTTCGTTCAAAAATTAATATGTTTCAAGGGAAGGAGACGATCGAGAGAAGCAGAGTAAAGGAGTTTACGTGGGTTTTAGAAGAAGAGAGTCACGCACGATCGAGGGATTGCAGCACCAACGCAATCGAACGGAGAAGAAAAGGGGTTTGCAACCAAGCAACAATCTCGGTGAGGAAGAACAACCATACCAGGGGGTTAAGGATTCGAGTTTATTGTCATCAGTTTGTTTTTCTTATTCAAACTTCATATACGTATCTATTTGGATTCCATGGATTATTGTTGGGATTTCCTTCTATTGAAGGATTGATTACGTTTGGTTCTGATTTATTCGCATTGTGCCTGTTTTTATCAATTATTGATTTGGTCTATATTGAGACTTTGTCCCCTAATCATTGCTCTTTCAATCGTGTCTCTGATTTCTTCTTTGCATAAACATTCTGAAAACCTCAAGATTTTTCCAGCAGCATAATAATACAAAGCTAATCTGTTTCAAGTTCTGCCCAACGTGAAAACCCATGTGTGGTCAGTTTATCAAAATGCTTACCAGTAAGAATTACTAGTAAGGTAAGTTACCTGGTAAACATTTGGGAAACGACGTGAAATTAAGTTTATACATTTAAATCTTGTTTGAAAACTAAAAATGGTGTGAACAAAAATGTAATTCACTCAAAAAAGTAAATTGAAATATTGCATTGTAGGAAGTGGGCAGCAACACCTCCATTTGTTCAGCAAAAATGACAACTGGTTTCGTACACTCTGCGAGACGAGTAATAACAGCATCATCTTCTTCGTATTGGCGCTCTTTCTCTTCTCCTCCTTCCAACAATAAACTTTTTGTTGCAGGTGATTACGTACACTGCTTGGCATCATTATTGAACGATTTATTTTAAGGTTACACTTATTCTTATGCACTTTTTTCATGTGGGTTTTGAAGGTTTGTCATGGTCGGTGGATGAAAAATCATTAAAAGAAGCATTCTCTACATTTGGTGAGGTATCTGAAGGTAAATAAATACCTTATGGTAATTCAACTAATTTAAAACAATTGAAATTATTAAGATCTTGAAGTCCTATATGTTCTATCCACCAGGTGTTCGATAAAATGTTTCAATGAGAATATGATATGCATATAAAGGAAGTGATTCATATGCAAATTAGAATAAAAATTTGTAGCAATGATTAGTCCGACGAGGAACCTCAATTTTAGTTCAATACTTCAAATTAGCATTGCTTTTCGAATCTCAAAATCTTTCATCATTGCAGTGAAACCCCTTTTTTGTCATTGCTATCAGTGTACGCTGTTGAGTGTTGGTGTCTCATATTCGCTACCTGTGTAAATTGTAATGGGTTAATTTGTGTGTACTAATCGGTGGTTCGAGTGATGAAGAAAAGCCCTAGCTCCAATCAGAGAATAATGCATGTGATATGGGTTGCTCCATTTCGTGTCCTTTGGTTAAATGACCTTCTGATAAGTTTCCTTCAAATCCATGACTTTTTGCTAGGTTTGAGAATGTCAATGCAGCAATGCTTAAAACAAAATGCCACGAAACTTCTCACAAGGTTTATGTTGTGAAATAAATTATCATTCAAAGTCAATAGCCTAAATTGTCTGTATATTGAATATATGCACTTGGATCACCAATCTTCTATAAATTTACATGCCTCTGAAGTTTTCAATATTCACCCAGAGAAACATGAGTTGCTTGTGGTATAACTTGTGTGGCATATTGTTTGCAGTAAGGATCATGTATGATAAAGACAGTGGTAGGTCAAGAGGGTTCGGGTTTGTGAATTTCTCAAAGGAAGACGAAGCCAGTTCAGCTAAAGACTCCATGGATGGGAAGGTTAGCAAATATCCTATTACACATGCCCCGATTTTCTGAATTGAATACCATCTCGGTCACCCACAGAGTCATTTAAATTATAGGCTTTTTTGGGACGGCCATTGAGGGTCTGCTTTGCACTAGATAAGGTCCATAGAGAACCTGTATCCCCCCGCCAAAACAACCATGGAACCACCTTCATTCGGAGCCGCTGATACAACATATTCTGTCATACATGATCATCAAGCATGCCAATGGTATGTATGCTCTTCATTTTCATCATGTACCTTTCGAATATTTACTGTGTTGATTGGTACTGTATTTTAAGTGTGAGGTCTTTGCAAAGCAGCATTTCTAGTATAATTGAAATTAAAACAAATACATTGAACCCAGCAGTCTAAATGGGGAGACCCACATACCATGGAGATTGATTCGGGTCCAAGTGCTATACTACAGTGATGAAGCAATCGCCATGGTTGATCATTGCATATATATATCTATATATATACACACACACACCGGGTTGGGTTCCATTAAAGAGAGTTAAAGTGAGAAGTATAAGAAGAGATCTCCACCCTTGGATGCACACGAGATGCACCAAGATGTACCGGATCAATCCCCGTATCAAGTGCAATTCATGTGCGGGTTTGAGATTAAAGGTGATCAAGGGTCCAAATCTCTTCTTACGCTTCTCATCTTAACTCTCCTTCTCACACAATCCTTCGTCTATGTGAGACCAGCTTGTTTATGGGAGACCGGTGAAACCACCTTCTCCCTTGAAACTTCACAGTAAAAGAATGTAAAGGTAACCTTCATAATGTTTTTAATGTGAAGGTTCAAGTTTTTTTTTTTACCTTTACAATGTTTTGCTATGAAGTTTCAAGGTGTTGAATTCACGTGAGACTACATTTTTACACTTGAAACTTCACAACAAAACATTGTGAAGGTAAAAAAATCCGAACCTTCACAGCAAAAATACTATGAAGGTTACCTTCATAGTTACCTTCACGGTATTTTGGTTTCAAGTGTAAAAAAGTGGTCACGTGGGTCTCACGAAAAAAGTCTGGTCTCACATGATCCAAAGTCAAGTTTCAAGTGTAAAAATTTAGTCTCAATAAAACATGTGTGGTCTCACGTGAACCCAACCCTATATATGGGGAGGTTGAAACGGGAACAACGACCAAATAAAATATCACGAGAACAACCAAATAACGTGCAAAGTCACATGTGATATATTAACAGTCAAAACAAGGGTGTGCGGGCGACGTGGCCCCTGACCTCAGGTCGCGGCCAAAATCGTGTGAATCATATATGATTTAGTGTAAAATCACATGATTTTATATATGATCTTAATGTAAAATCACATGTAATTCGATCATCTTTATTCTCTTAACATATAGCTACTAGGGGTGATCAAAAACCCGATCAACCCGACTAATCCGATCAACCCAATGCGAAATAACCCAACCTGAAGCAACCCGATGTCTAATCGAGTTGTAAAATTGTCAAACCGTAAGTATGGGGTTGATATTGGGTTACTATTATTTGAACCCAACCCAACCCGATGAAAACGATATCTTTTTATTTCTTGGATTTAATATGATTGTTGAATTTCTATTAATATATACATTAGACACTTACACTATCATGTATGCTTTTCATATACACGTATTTTCAATTTATTTATATCTCTATATAACTCATTCAGTAACTGTGAACATATATATGTAAATTGAGAAAATTAATTGAATGTGATATACGTAAGAAATATGAATAAGTTGTATCAAATGGTTGATGATGAAAAAGAAATTATGAGTAAAAAAATAACATATTCAAGGTTAGAAAAATATTTTAATATATCAAAGTATCAACTTGACTAACCCGACCAACCAGTATGGGTTGGGTTGCACTTTGGGTTGGGTTGGGTTAAGATTTTTCCAAATCGCAAGCATTGTATTAAGTTGTTCAAATGTCCTCAACCCGATCAACCCAACCCATGAGCACCCCTAACCTAATAGCTACCGCTTGTAGTATTATTCCCTTCCCTGTTGGGCTGCTCATTGGATTTGAACAAAACCAAACCATAGCCGAAAAATAAAAATAAACCAAATTCACCCAAACTCGCTTGTCTTAAATTAGACCAGAACAAAAAAGTGTAAAGTGAATATAAGAAGAGGAAATTTCAAAAAACCCAATAATTTATTCAATTTTAAATGATTAAGTATTTGGATTTATATTTTCGAATGAAAAAACTATTGAACCTATTTCATTTTGAATGATTAAGTTGTTACTATTTTTTTTCAAAGAAAAAACGATTAAGCTTTCTCATTTTGATTGATTAAGTCCTTGATTTTTTTTTTAATAAAACCAAAGGGTTTTTGACCTAGCGGTATTGCAGCCCTTGGTCTTTAGAAGGTCAATGGTTCAAACCTCATCATTGGTGAGGAGTGTGTGTGAGTTTATTTGTTGCATTTGTCGTATATAAATATTATATACTTAAAAAAAATTTAATAAATAAACCATTGTAATTTCAAAAATTGGTCACCTATACCATTTTTTAACTCAAAAAAAGTTAAATTAATCGGCCAATAAAAGTTCGATGGTGCACTTATTTTAAAAGAAATTTAGAATGTGAAAGTTTAATGGTTTTTCATTCAAAAAAATAATTGAGGGATTTAATCATTCAAAATAAAAAAAGTTTAATGAGTTTTTTAATCCTTTATACTGCACAACCTTCTATTGTATTGGTTTACCATATTATTTGAAGATATACATAATATTCTTTTTACCTTGTCACCGGAATTAATTATCGTTTGTTTGGTACTTTTGTTATTTAAAATTGAACAATCAACTTATGTAAACTATTGTTTATCCTTGACTATTCATGTTATTTAATGATTTTTATTGTCTTCTTTGTTATTGTAAGCGCCTAAAAACTTTGTATAAAAAGCATTCTCTTATTTTATAGATGATAATATTTATATATAAAATACGATTACATTGATATCACGAATCAATCATAATCCACTCACTCAATAACTCGTTCGATTGCTAATTTTTCCAACATTAATAATCAATCTGGATATTTAAATTTCTTTCAACAAACATATACGACAATGGAGAATATTTTCCACCTTTTTTTAACAGTAATGCTATGGAAATTATTTGTTTTTAAATAAATAAAGTAATGGAGATGTTTTGGAGCATATGTTTTTTATGCTTTCCATACTGAGGGTCCATGGGTTGGTCGAAGATGCTTCCCATTGTCTTTAGCATTTTCAGATCTCAAAGCTCAGAACTTTCCATTTTCTAAATATTTAAATTATTCAAATACCCACCCAATCAAGATTAAAAGAGTTACCCCCAATCTGGATTAACCGTGAAGCTGAATCCAATCGTTTTGTGAGGCTATTATTGGGTGAGGATGACTTTCGAGACAAGGCAATCAAACTTTCACTTCCAAGGTGGTTCACTTGACCACACACACCCCCCCCCCCCACCGACGACCAGTTTCACCGTAATCACTGTTCCCAACTACCGTACAAGTCTACATCTCCCAACAAAACCACAATCGAATTATATAAACACAAACAAAACACACACTCCAAGACCCAACCTTCACCCGCCAAAATTGCCGACACTTTTCTCTTAACAAATCAATGGCGTCGGCAACAATCTATCTTACCTTCTTCTTTCTTCTACCACTTTTCAATCAACTCACCACCGCCGTTGACGCTGCATTGCCCGCTAAACCCGTTACTCAGATCAACTCCAATTCCGTTCTTGTTGCTCTTCTTGATTCTCGTTACACCGAGCTGGCGGAGCTCGTCGAGAAGGCGCTCCTGTTGCAGACACTTGAACAGGCTGTCGCACTTCACAACATTACCATTTTTGCACCCAGAAATGAAGCTTTGGAACGTGATCTTGACCCGGAGTTCAAGCGGTTCCTTCTTGAACCACGAAATCTTCGATCGCTTCAGACTCTTCTCCTCCACCATATCGTCCCTACTCGACTTGGGGTTTCACGGTGGCCGAACGAAACCACCCGGCATGATACGTTATCTGATGACCCTTTACACCTCTCCGCCAATTTGGAGTTTGTGAAGCTTGTTGGTTCTGCGGAGGTTGTTAGTGTGGAAGACGTCGTTCGCACCGACGGAATTATTCATGGGATTGGGAGGCTGCTGATTCCAAAATCCGTACAACAGGATTTCAATACCCGCCGAAGCTTGCGTGCCATTTCTGCCATTAAGCCGGAGGGAGCACCGGAAGTGGATCCCAGGACGAACAGGTTGAAGAAACCGGCACCGCCGGTTCCTGTTGGTTCGGCCCCAGTTCTTCCGATATACTCCGCCATGGCCCCTGGTCCTTCCTTGGCTCCGGCTCCTGCCCCTGGACCTGGAGGCCCCCACCACCATTTCGACGGCGAGAGCCAGGTCAAGGATTTCATCCAGACGCTTCTACACTACGGCGGGTAAATTACCTGTGATTCAACAATTTAATTACTAAATTACGCATCGTCCAAAATCCCTTATTCGGATTGATTTTTAGGTACAACGAGATGGCTGACATTTTGGTGAATTTGACGAATTTGGCAACGGAAATGGGGAAATTAGTGTCAGAGGGATACGTATTGACGGTGCTGGCACCGAACGACGAAGCGATGGCGAAGTTGACCACCGACCAATTGGCGGAGCCCGGTGCTCCAGAGAAGATCATGTACTACCATATCCTACCGGAGTATCAAACGGAAGAGAGCATGTACAATGCGGTAAGAAGATTCGGGAAGATTCAGTACGACACGCTTCACGTGCCTCATAAGGTGGTAGGTGAAGAGGCCGACGGGTCGGTTAAGTTCGGCGACGGTGAAGAAACGGCTTATTTATTCGATCCGGATATTTATATTGACGGAAGAATATCGGTTCAGGGGATTGATGGGGTTTTATTCCCGTCGCCGACGGAAACAAATACGAAGAAGTCGACGGAGAGTGTAACAACTGTTGACCCTGTGAAGGTCGTACCAAAATCTCGTAGAGGTACGCCAATCACCTTCTTGCATTGAATCTATTCATTAAATCATTTTGATTCTCTTGGCCGGAAAGAATGGTGGTCTGAACGCCGGGGAATTTTTGTTTCTAAAAACTAGGATGCTTTTTTTTTGCATAACTTCAGAAGAAAGTCAACTATTAATTAAAAACTTTTTTTTAAAACACAATGGTTCTTTTTTAAATATTTTATTTTTAAAAGAAATCACATATCTATTTGTTAGTAATTAACCCATTCATTAAAATACTTGGCAATATGTGTGTGTCCTGTATTTTATACGAGTCGTATAGTGGAGCAGGAAGGTAGTTAAATTGGACTGTCGGTGAGTCAAATAAAAAAAAAAGTCAACAAGGACAAAATCGTCATTATGTTAAATGATCAATAACTGTTAGGTTTTAATTATTATTCATCTAAAACAATTAAAATGGTTAAAAAACACAAAATGTATAATTTTCTTTCTATGCAATATATCGAGTAAACTTTTAGAGTTATTTTTAATAATAACAACTATTAAAACCTGAAACGTAAAAGTTATATATATAATGGTTTAAATAAGAAAGATAAAAAATTGAGTAAAAATAAATAATTTATATATGAATTATCGATAAAAAAAATAATAATTTAAAAATGTTTGAGAACAAATAATTCATATGGAGGGAACCGAAGGACGACGATAATTTGATATAAGACTTGAATGAAAGCTAAATAATTCCATAAAGTAGATTTGATGGAGGGGTAGTTAGGGGGTCCATTTCATTTAATGGTAATTGTTCAGCCATGCGTACGGGGTGTGTGTCGGTAGCTAAAATATATATATATATGTATGTTAGTTTAATTGTAACATATACACATATATGCTCTATTTGCATATTAATTAATATTATTATAAGTTTGGATCTGTTTTCAATTCTTGGCTGTCACCGCTAATAATTCCATCTCACCAAATCATTTTTTTGAATTATCCTTATTTCTAAACATGTCATAATTAATTGAGTCAACTCGCTTTAATCACCAGTATAAGTTTTTAATGCTCAGGACCCCGGTCTATTGGTTGGATTGTCAATTCTGTTATTATTTATGACTGTTATTTAATAATGAGAAGATACGAAGTTGTTTTCGAAAGACATATGAAAGAGTCGTAAAAACTACTTATTAATGAAGATATTAATTAATTGCAGGGAAGTTGATGGAGGTAGCATGCAGGATGATTGGGTTCAGCACATGCCGCTAAATCAGATCAGCCAAAAAGGGCGTATGGGAGTGAAAAATATGAATTTTTCCATAAGAAGGATGGAGGGTCCCACCAAAAAGATTTGTGTTGTTTTTGTGTGTGATAGGGTGAGGGTGAAAATGTGAGTTTAAAGACTGGGATCCCATTACCAAATCAGAATTTTTTTGGTGGGTATATATATAGTCAGGAAATAAAGATGATGAGGTGTATATTGCTGGCAAGTCAGAAAGAGAAAAGAGGAGAGGCGAGGGGTTTATTCTGTGTGGTGTGGTGTACGTCTAGGTTGGTCAAATAACAGCCTACCACTTCAAAGTGGGACCCACTCAATAAAAAAGAATGAATTGCCCTCCCACTTTTATTTTCATATTTAATAGATTATAAATAATTAAAAATATGTTCGTTTAACCGGCATTTTATAACTATAAAAAACATGTTATAAATTTCGTTGCGTCTCATTTGTCATCGACCAATAGGAAACACGTGAAAATTGTAATCACCGGAGAACAAAATTAGCTAAACATCAAAATAAACCTCGATTTTCAGATTCGACGAAGATATTTTCCTTACAATTTAATACTTATTACAAATATTCTATGTATGGATGGATGCATACATCTCCAATCACTTCATATATAGACATGTAATATGTAACCCAAATGCTCTAATGAGTTTGTATGTCTACGTATACAAAGTTCCACTTACTAATGTGTGATAAAGTCAAATGTTTGTACAACATGGTCATATAAAACACAATTATTTCAAAGTCAAATGTAACTGAAGTCGATGAATCGTTACATAAAACTACATATCAAATCCTAAGAAGCATTTCGTGGTTTATTTGATCCATGGCTTTCTATACGATGCATTGGTCGTAACTAGGCATGTAAGTCTTGTACTGGCCTCTCAATTTACATTTCTGGTTGCATGACATTCGACTACCTCCCCAAATTTTTGTAAACACAATGTGCACAAATACATTCATCCGCAACATTTCGACAACCGCCCCGATTTTTTTTAAACACACAATGCACACCATGCATTTGTGCACAGCGTGTACTATATACAAATGATGGTTATGTGGTATGATGTCAACGTGTACATCACACGTTATGCTAAAGACGTTCATGGTCTTAGGAACACTTTTTAGAAATAAATGTTCACACATAGTGGAATAGGTGTTCATATGTCCTGTGAGCATCTTTCAAAAACAAATGCTTAATACGCCACGTACTGCAAATAAATGGTATACAACTAGAATGATTCGGCAATATTTGTCTACTGTACGGGGTGGGGTGGACATAAAAGGAGGGCCTGCAATTCCGAGGTCTTGGAGTCCTCCTCCATAGAATACGCCACGTACGTAAAGAAAAGTGACGAGTCGATACCTCACTTACAATATAATAACCAAAATACATTAAAACACTGTTTATATGTGCATGTGGTCATGGAATCATATTGTAAACCATAAGGGTGGTGTCTGATTGGTTTGAGCTTGACTCCAAAGGTCAAAAGTACAAGGAGATCACATGTTCAAATCCAAGGAGGAATAAAAATCCCCTTGTGGCCACGGAAGTTCAAATGCGGTGATTTCGGGCTATCTGCAAAGCAGGTAGTCGCCCTGAGATTAGTCGGCTCGCATAGCGGGTTGGATATCCAGGTTAATAAAAAAATCATATTGTATTCACTAAGCTTTTAGCTTATACTATACATGTATATATATGAGGTGTCAATTGTCATTAGACGAGTTGAATGAAGAGAGACGGGTCTATCTTTTGAATCACCTTGATTAGATATTTTAATTAACATTGATTACGTTAAAGTATTTTACAATTCCACAATTATTTAATGAATTATGTTATGTGTATGTTTGAAATTTCTATAAGTTCGGATTTTGTTAATGAAATAAATTATTAAGAATGACGTCACGACACTTGAAAAAAATGGGGTGACAGATAAGTTCATGGAATGATTACCACTTGTCTTGCTTTTTGTGTAGAAAACCGTTGTGCACAACAGCATGCGGAGGTCGGAATCTTTTGTATGCCAGTGTTTGTCGCAGTTTGACAGTGGTATCGATGGTTGATTAGTAGTGAGAGAGTATAGAGGGGGGGGGAGAAAATCATAAGAAAGTCCGAAGTTTATTGTACGCTAGTGTTTGTAGAAGTTTGGTGACAGTGACGATGGTTGATCGGAACTTCGAGGGATATAGGAGAAAAACATGTAGCGGCAGGATTGTTGTGTACGTCGATGTTCATCGGAGTTTGAAGGAACGAGAATGGTTGATCAGAGAGGGAAGGGAAAATGGTTTGGTTGAGATTTGTTTCAAATTTAAAAAAAAAAAAAATCATTATTATGATAATATTGACCGACTAACTTGAGGGAATCGATTATTATGACTTTCCTAATGTAATGATACATGAGTTGTCAAATTACTAAATTATCCTTACAATGTTAATTAAAGAATAATACTAATTATCTTAAATGAGTGGCTTAAAATGGATCTCACATAATTTGAAGTTCTCAAATGATTAAGCCTATACTTAAACCCAACTTTTACGTTTACAACTCCCATAACCTATTACATCATCAATTTGACAATTTTCTAACATGACAACAACTTATTTTAGAATATTCCACTTTTTATGTCTCGTTGAGATGCTTTTAACATAGAACAACTGTTATGTTATGTTCTATTCTATTATGTCTGAATAACAAATGCATGCAAAAGGAACAACTGAGCTCAATCTTACAAGACATTGGATCGAGTAAAAGACCAAAAAAAAAATTGATAAAAAACAAAAATGCCCCTCGTTTAATGGAACTTTTGAACGGTTGCTAGAAAGAAAGACAAAATCCAAATGTTTGTACAAACCACAATAACCATCTTATAATTTCAAAAATGTAAGAACAAAAAGTATTGTTTTTAACAAACCACTAGAATCAAATTTGTAATTTAATCTAAACAAATATTACATATTTGATTATGGATTAATTTTTTTATTATGAAATAGTGTTGTTTTAGAACATGTTTTTACAATTCTATAAACTACTATACCAATAATTTTAAAGGGACGGATGAAAGACAACGTATTAGGAGATCTCAAGTTCAAATCTAAAGAGAAATAAAAATCCCTTTGTGGTCATAGAGGTTCAGATGCGGTGACTCCGGGCTATCTGCAAAACATGTGGTTGTCATGTGATTAGTCGGCTCACATAACAGGATATCCAGGTTAATAAAAAAAAAAGACAAAGTAGATTCTCAAGAGTTGCACTTTCATTAAGACAATATGAGAAAAAAAGTAACATAAAATATAACTCATTTTGACAAATTCCATAGGGATCGACAAATCCAAATAGTGAAGAAGACGCCACATTTCTCGTGTCCCTGTGAATCGATAATTTCACAACCAAACAGAGTATAATATTGGGTCATTCCTTCACTTCCTTAAGCTAATTAAAGACCCACAAAAAATGAAATTGTCTGAATAATTCAACGTTGTTTCAATTTTCTCCGCCATTGCTAACTGGTTAGTGTCGATCTTATTTGCTCTGATTGAGATCTTCCAACCCTTTGCTTCATATGTATGATCTTTTTTCACTCTTCAACTCCATCAGTTTAGTACATAGCACGACTGAGAACAATTGATTTTGAAACCAACCAGGGACTTTGTGTTATTTTTTCTTTTCCTTTTGTTTGTTTGTCAGAATCGATTTCGATTCCTCATTTGGGTATATGGAATGATCGAAGCTATTCAATTCTTGTTACCATTGATGTTCAGTTTACTTACATAGATACCCGTTGACTTAAATTTGCTATCGGTTGATTAGTTTGTTTAATCTTGCGAATTTTATTTCACATAAACTAGGGGTAGGTTCTGTTTACTCTGTTTTTGTTTTGATTAATTGATTCTTGCTAAATTTAGTTCATGCGTGAATTTGGATTATAGTTGACAATTTCGGAGGCAATTGTTATGGGTTTGACTTTTTCATTGTTGGGGTTTTGGTGTTGAACAGATCTTTGTTTCATCGAGCCAGTGCAGTGAAATTGGATCCTTATGTTTAAATCAGAAAGGGGTTTGTTGAGAAGTGATTGAAGTGATTTGGGTGTGGGAATAGATGGGGAATACTTGTGTTGGACCAAGCTTTTCAAAGAATGGGTTTATCCAATCAGTTTCTGCTACAATGTAGCGAACCTGATCAACTGAGGAATCCCCACCTACCCCTAACGGAGAAGAAGCTAAAGAAGAACGATCGCCGTTACCTGCCCAAAACAAACCACCACAACAAATGACAATGCCTAAAACTGAAAAGAAACAAGAACAAGAGTAAGTGAAACCCAAACAAGGCCACCAGGTGAAGCGGGTGTCAAGTGTTGGACTTCGTACCGATTCAATCTTGCAAAGAAAAACCGGCAACTTGAAGGAGTTTTTCACTTTGGGCAAAAAGTTAGGACAAGGGCAGTTTGGTACAACATATCTTTGTATAGAGAAAGTTATAGGTGAGCTATACGCTTGTAAATCATTTGCAAATAGGAAGTTATTGACTGATGATGATGTAGAGGATGTGAGAAGGAAAATTCAAATAATGCATCATTTGGCTGAGCATCCTAATGTTATATCAATTAAAGGGGCGTATGAGGATGCTATTGCGGTTCATCTTGTTATGGATTTATGTGCTGGAGGTGAGCTTTTTGATAGGATAGTTCAACGTGGACGTTACACAGAAAGAAAGGCAGCTGAGCTTACTAAAACTATTGTTGGGGTTGTGGAGGCATGCCACTCTTTGGGCATTATGCATCGCGATTTGAAGCCTGGGAATTTGGTCTGACTATACAAATTTTGATCCTTTATTGGTAATCTTTTTACTCATTATTAGCCCCTTCCTACACCCTCGTTAAGATTGTATAAACATTAGATCTCTACATGGATATAACGTATGTTAATTAACTATCCAATCTGTTTTAGATCATTGATTGCATGTTACCTTGAACACTTGGAGCTATCTTTTCATGACAAAAGCCACACAACTCATCTCTAAACAACTCAATGATCATTTGTACATTTGATAATACTAATCAAACAAGGCTTAGAACTCGGTCCAATTTGGTTTAATATTTAAATCCCACAGTGATCAATTTTTGTATGGTCACTTGCGCTTGCTGGAAGGCCTCAAAATTCACCATGGCAGCTTTACATGGATTCCATGAATAAGTTGAGCCAGAGGCCCGTACACCATGGTATCGGAAAAATAAAAGAGAAACTATAAAGAATCGTATTAAATGTTAACTAAACCACATAATATTCCCTTTTTAATTGATGTAATGAACCATATAACCCTTTTGGCTTTCAAGATGCAATTGTTTCTCTGCCTTCGTTTTCCTTTGATCTTCTTGTTGTGTTCTTGAAAATGTATTTATGTTGTTACAATCTTTTAACTTCTTTTTTAGGTGAATTATTTCACGATGTGGTTGGTAGCCCATATGACGTTGCACCAGAAATATTGACAAAAAATTATGGTCCAGAAGCAGATGTTTGAAGTGCTGGGGTGATCGTTTACATCTTATTAAGCGGGGTTCCTTCGTTTTGGGCTGGCGAGTAGTTGATCACGTGAAGTTATATATGTTGCCCCACCATCCCATGAAAATCGCAATGCTTTCAAATTTTAGTTCCCGTTTGGCTAATCTTGATGCCAAATTTACATTATTGCCGATTGTCATCACTACAGATTATTGATGCTATTGATTTTGGTACAAAAGATTCCACTATTTTCTCATTATTGAGGGGTGTTTTAGACATTTGGCTAGCTATTAAACATCTTTATTAAGCTACTTGTAACATCAAATGTTGCAATTATCATCAATTCATTGTAACAAAATTTTCTTTTGTTATTATGATTTGCTCATTGGTCTATAGAAAAGGAGCAGGGAATCTTTGAGCAAATCCTGCATGGTGATCTTGACTTCTCGTCTGATCCATGGCCAAGCATTTTTTATGGTGCCAAAGATCGTGTGAAAATAATGCTTGTTCGAGATCCAAACAGACGATTAACTGCACATGAAATTTTATGTGAGTCTTCTATTTTGCATATACAATACCATTTACGCTTACAGAAAATGCTTCCTTTCTCTATAAATAAGATCCTTTTACGAACAACTTTTTGGGAAAGTTTGTACATGATTTAATACAAACTGGCAAAATGACTGTCTATGCAATATTTAATAAATGTGTTATATGATATCAATGATATTCAACCAGTTGAATTGAAAAAAGAGTTGACATGGTTTTAGTTTTTCTTCAGGCCATCCTTGGGTTCAAGTTGACGGTGTGGCTCCAGACAAGCCTCTTGACTCTGCGGTTCTGAGTTGCACGAAACAATTTTCAGCCATGAACAAACTCAAGAAAAATGGCTGTTCGAGTAAGTGCATATATTTCCGCTAGCTACTTTATGTGTTTCAAAAACTTGCTACGTTTTTAACTTCAAAATCCAACGCAATGTTTTGAGTTTTTTAAGAAAACTTCTGACTACATTGATCACCATAGCAGTTTACTACAATTTATAGAATAATTTATGTTCAAAATACCTTTATGATCTTGAAATATGTACAATTGACTTCAAAGTCAAAGTGTATCACTTCCTGTTGGAATAAAGATGAGTTTATACGGCGTGGAATTAACTTTTCTTTGGAATTCTGAAGATGTGGTTTTCTTATGCAGGTTATAACTGAGACGTTATCAGAAGAAGAAATAGTTGGGATGAAACAAATGTTTCAGATGATAGATTTAGGCAATAATGGTCAAATTACTTTTGATGAACTTAAGGTTGGATTGAAAAGGGTTGGTGCTAACCTTAAACAGTCAGAGATCTATGAATTGATGCAAGCAGTAAGACCTAAATCAAATTCTTATGCTTAATTGTTAATATTGTTGCGACGAAGGATCATGTGAGAAAAATAGTTAAGGTGAGAAACATAAGAATAGAATAATAGATCTCCAGCCTTGATCACTTTTAATCTCATATCCACCCATAAATTGCGCTTTAGAAGAGAACTGATCCGGTACATCTATGTATATCTCGTTAGTGTTGATCTTCAATTAGGATTGATCCAAGGGTGGAGATCCCTTTTTGCTCTTCCCACCATAACTTGTCTTCTCACCGGAACCCAACACATATTGTTTGCATATGCTATCTTCTATATTTAATATGATTGAATCATAAACACAGGTAGATGTCGATAATAGTGGAACAATCAATTATGGGGAATTTGTTGCTACAACGTTACACATGAATAAAATCGAGAAAGAAAATCATCCATTCGCGGCTTTCTCTTACTTTGATAAGGACGAAAGTGGTTATATTATTGCCGATGAGTTTCAACGTGCTTGTGAGGAGTTTGGCATAGATGCTCACCTCGAATAGTTGATTCAAGATGTTGACCAAGATAATGTAAGTTTATTTAATAACCGTAAATATTTAGAGAACCAACTATCCATGATGAATATTACATAAATAATCATACATTTTCGTTCATGTCCTATTCGTTGTTTATCTGGTTTTCAGGATGGACACATAGACTACACCGAATTTGTGCCCATGATGCAAGGGCATACCGATACCGGTGCTAAGAACAGCCTAGATAATAGTTTCAGTATTAAGTTTAAAGAAGCACTAAAACTTTGAACATATAAAGTTTTCGGTTCTTTTTTCGTGTTCGTTTTTCATGATTCTTCTTTGTCGAAAAGGTTATACAACAATACAGATTGAAAGCCGCGCTTTACTCAAAGTTGGGTTGAATGTAGTTAACAATTTTAATCAGCATATTTAGTTCAATTTCAACCTGCTTTCGAATCAGTTTGTAAGTACCTCAAAACAAAACAAAGTTTGAAGATAACAGTCAGAAAAGTCCAATAAATAATATTAAATATTTGAGAAATATTATTATTTCACAATAAAGGTAATGTTGCAAAAAGATTTCAATATCAAACATACCAAAAATAAAATTAACAACTTAAAAAAAGATATCAAATTAAATGATAATTTATTTTCAGTATATTTATGTAATATTTTTAAGCCAACAGAATAATTTAAAAAATATATAATATTAAATCACGTGAGAATTAAATTAGTGTCTTCTCAAACTGGTATTTACATTAATTGTGAAAATATGCTTTAGTTATAAATTTTAACCAAACAAACTTCCCCGCCATTGGAATTAATGGGAGGGAAACCCTTTTGGGATTACAAATTTACATACTACCCCCTCTACTATGACTTCATCTCATTTTTGTGATCAATGTTATACTGATTTTGTTCTTGATTTAATTGTATTTTTTATCGGAAAAAATATGGTTACTGATTACTGTACAAAGTCTCAAAAGTAGCTATTAATTACATTATTATATATGATATATTGAGATTTTTTTATGGGGATAACATTGCATGGGGAAATATAAAGTTTCGAAAAACCAGGACAGTTTCACATGGGCAGGTATATGAACTTGATTTGAACGCGTGGAGATATGAAAGATAGTCTAAGGCAGGAATCCACCATATATATACATTATTTTATACAGACATCGTTTATGTCTGTAGTTTTTTATTTGCTTTCCTAATATGTTCCTTTATATGTTTCGTAACCATCGTGGCACATGGATGCAAAAAGATGTCTATAGTGGATGAACGATGGCACCCTTCTTAAAATATTAATCGAGTCGTAAAGAACCGCTTAAAAAGTTAAAGACAAATTGTGAACCATAACAAAAGGGTAATTTGAGATCATAATAGATTTAAATAGGGTTTTTATGTAAATAAAATTATTTGAAGGGGCTTTTTTGTAACTTTAAACCATAATTTTCGCTTCCCAGTTTCTCTCTCTAACGCTCCCTGGTGTCAATATATTTTAAAAATAATAATTTAAATAAGAATGAAACTAATAATAAATCCATAAGCCTTGTTTGTTGTGTCTGCGCTCAGATAAAAACCCTAATTTCCCACTCTCTCTCTCCCTCCACCGCTCAGGTTTCTCTCTCTCTACGCAATTCCTCTTTCGACAGCTTGAGCTTCACCTATGGCGACGTCGGGCGATGGAATGGCTCCCTACCAAGGAGGGGGATTAGGGGGGAAGTTTCGGAAGAGGCCTATACGGCGTAGTGCTCAGGGGACGCCGTACGATCGGCCTCCAACCGCACTCAGGAACAATAGCCCTAGCCTCTTCGCGAAACTCGTGGACCCCGCGTCTAGACTCATATACGCGGGGGCCGATAGGCTCTTTGGCGTTTTTCGTAAGCGGCTTCCTTCTATTGCTGCACGACGTCCTCCAGGTTCAACACTTTTGTTCCAATTAAATTACTTTTTTTTTTCCAGTTTCTTGTGGCTTGAATTTATTTTCGGGATGATATGGATGTTGATAGACTTTTTTATGCGATCTTTGCCGGAATTAGATACGGTATCGTGTGATTTGAGGGCTGCTCTGGTCGGTTGGGTTATTGCTAATCCTTTATTTGCTCAGGTTTTTGTTTTGCCTATATTTTACCATATAAAAGGGCATATCTTTAGGATCATCTTACTGTAAGTTATAACGGTGGATTGTCTTGTTGCTATATTTTTGCAATTGACTTAAGTTTAATCTGGCTTAAGAAAGACACATATTTTATCTTACGGCATATACTTAGAATTGCGGGGTGTTAGTTTTGTATTAGTTGAGCTGCTGATTGCTGAAATCTGTGACTTGCTATGGTCTTAGACCTGTTTTGCAATTTGTTTTGTTTAAAGGGGTCGTATTCCAGGGATGGGAAGAGTCTATCCTTTTAATGAATTAAGTTCATAGTTATGTTGGTTAATGTACCTTGAAATCACTAAGGTCTGGTCTTGGTCTCTTTAGATACAGAAACATAACGTTCTACTGGACGTTGCATTGCTCATTTTTCATTAGGTTCAAGGACCAAAGAAATATGGTTTTTTTACTTGTATCTTTTGTTAAAAAAAATATCTCGACAAGTGGAAATGCCATCCCCATATCAGCTATCTTATGTTCATTAGAATACCGCCTCTTGTTTTTTTGTATGTATCTCATTTTTTGTATATTTTATTTGTGCCATAGTTGATGCTTATTATGGTCTCTTTTTAAGTGTCATGGCAGGCTTAACATTGATAGACTTGTAATAGAAATTTGAATTAGTAACAAACCTATTCGGTTAAGTGGGTTACATAAAAAAATTCATGTATAAGCATACAGTTTAATAAAATCATGCATATATACCATTATAAATATCCTCCTTTCATACGGCACCTTTGTGAGTTGACATGCTTAGATGATTGTGACTGTGTTGTCTTTGAAATTTGAATGATGATTGTAAATTTGACGATTTCTTGTAAGTACAAATTACTTATAAACCCTCCTAATATATGGAACAAATACTCTAAAAGGATTATGTTATGAACCTCTATATAGACTTTGGGCAAGTAGGCAGAGGTTGTGGAACTTCTGTTTTCATGCATGTTTACGAGCTAAGTAGCAAAAGACAATGTCAATGCCCAAGACCAAGTAATTGTGAATTTCTTTTAGGGGAGGGAGTTTCTTGTTAGCAGAATTATGTGTTTGCATTCTAGAAAGCTAGCAGTAACGAAGGATATGATTTTCATGAAAATTCTTGTTTCGTGCTCTGAGTTCCAAAGCATATATGTAGAATTCTAAGTTATTTCTGTTAGATATTTTTTTATATAAGTCATTTTTTGCTGAATTGTTAGCTTAATAGGTCAATATTCCAAGAGCAACGATGGCAGGGATCATTGGGCATTTAGAATCTCATAATTATCGGGATTAGGTATTTGATCTCGGTTCATGCATTCAACCTTAACTGAAACTAAGAAGCTTCATGATTTATGTTGATTACATTGTAATTGTATTGAACTATCACATTACAATATACTAAGATTACTACATACCATAGGATTTATATTAGGTAATGAATCTTAAGCATTTCTATTGTTTCATACTACATGGCAAGTTAATTATGGACAACCAACCAAGTTCTTTACGTAATGATGTGCCATATTTTTGCAACAACAACCGTTTTATTTTCAAGAATCCTTAGGATCATTTATCTAATATGAAGTTATAATGACCAGTTCTGCTCTACTACTTTTTTTTGTTTCTGTGGATACCATGACATTTATATTATGCATTTATTTATGTCACATCACTTAATATCATTTGAATGCTTTTTCCCTCACAAAAGTTCCCATGTGATCAGAGACTAGTGAAGAACCAAGGAATGGGCTTCAGGAGGCAGGTCCAAATGTAAGTTGTTTTTTCCAGTGTTGCACAAGCTCATTCATGTCTTTCTAATCATATCAATTGTATGCTTTACTTCAAAGATGTTCAATTTTTACATGGACAAGGTTAATAACAATTCCTGTTCACAAAATAATGATATTGCCGTTGCTTTGTCATTCAAAACTGTCTTTGCGCTCTCTCTCTATCACATCTGTTTTAGATACTATTGTCAAACAAACTGCTTATCTGAGAATCTTAATTTATTGCTGGAAATGATTGCTAGTATTAAATATTTAAGCAAATTGCATGGTAATAGTTTACAGACTTTTGTAGGTGGGTGCCATACTACTGTATTTGCACACTGCTTATGCATCTAGAAATCCTGGCGCCTGTGTAGTTGTCTCTACTATCAAGTTTCATCCATTTGTTATCCAAGTTATGGCATACTTTGCATGAATGCCATGGCTTCTCAAGTTTTTATATTATTTGGAGATTTAGAGATCTCATCAAATATAATTTCTGATATTGGAGACTGTAAGATATAAGAAGTGGTTTCTTCATCTCTGGTTGAATCATGCAAGTGATGTTCAGCTTGGAACAACAGGCAGTATTGAGGCTTCTAGGAGAGCATGCTGTTTCTTTTTTCTCACAAAATTTCTATAATTTTTTCTTGTCTTCTAGGTTGTTCCCCGTGCACAACTTTTTTTGCTAACTACTTAGACTATATAACGTTGAATGTGGTCATTTACATGGAGTCTTTACGTTTGAAGTTCGAAAGTGAGCAGGTGGGACTTGGGAGTAGATTTTGTTCTTACTTTCTATGGTTTATGCCTTTTCCTTAAGAGTGTATGGAATTTGCTTTCCAAGTGATTTGTTTAGTTCTGCTGTTCTTAACTACTTTGTTTGCCACCATTGCGATTTTGATTCTCTTTCTCTTGGTTGCCTGGATCAAAGATTTCTACTGGAGTATCAGAACCTAGCACAGACAAAGGTCGGAATTTGTCTACCATCTCTGCTGCCCCACAGATATCAGAGCTTGAGAATATGCTGAAACAGAAGACCTTTACTCGGTAAGTTATTTTGCTTAAGCCAATTGTCAATCAAACATTGTTGTGATCTGTGCTCTAAGAGGTATGATCTTGGTGCCTTGGCTTTGTAAGTGCCTTCTCCATTATTTGTTGGTAATCTTTTTAACAAATTTGTTTCATAGGTGCCGATTTTAACCCCAATCAAATGAGCATTTTTGGCATATGATTTTTTTAAAATTAACGTCACCCAATGATAGTTCAAGTTTTTTCGAAGAATGAAGAAAATAAGGTTTTGAGATGTTAGGTGCCACTTGCCGCACTCCTTGCTCTCTTGCCTTTGAAGAATCCATATAATGTAGATTGCATCCTTTTATATCTCATCTATCTTTGTATTTGTGAACAATGATGGAAATACTGATGTGATGTACCACTTCAGATCGGAAATTGAGCGTTTGACAGCATTGCTGCATTCGAGAACTACCGAGTCACCTTCTGATGACGATGAAGGGGACGGATCAAAGCGTCCCAGCACAACATCTCAGCTTTTGAGGCTTGAAGCATCCACAAGTGGCCCATTGAACAAGCATGTGGAGGATAGGGAAAATTTCCATGCTTCCATTTTGACTCCTCGTGCCAACTCAAGAGTGAGTTAATATGCTTTTGCTCTTGCTTTTGTGCATGTGTGTGTGTTCATTTGTTTTATTGTAAGACATGTTTCCGTTGTGAAAGTATCATATGTTTTTAGGTTTCCTACCCAAAAAGTTTTTATTTTGTATTCGGCTCTCTTCAGGCCTTTGAAGAGGATGTTGCCTCACCTGCTGAGCTTGCGAAGGCTTACATGGGGACGAGGCCTGCCAAAGTATCACCATTGACCTTGAGGTTGGGCAGTCAAGCACCAAGACAAGAGTCGATGTCACTTAATAACACAATAGTCTTCCCAAGAACACCTATCACATCACTTGCACCGAGGACTGCAGGTAGCTCAAAGGGTCTTGAAAATGGTTTGACAACCCCGAGATCACGAGGCAGATCAGCAATATATAACATGGCACGCACACCATATTACAGGGGAACTTCAACTTTTAACCAAAAGGTTAGATGAACAACAGATATCTTTTGATATGTTCAACAATATCTTTTTTGATGAAGTGGAATTGTAATAGTTTCTTCATTTTCAGGGAATGAAGTCAGATTATGGTCATGGTGTGGCGTCACCATCACTCGCATTATCTCAACCTGCTATGGAACATGATGGGCCAAGTGGATCAAGCAAGACGGTATGCGCTTTAGTGATGAAGTATATATTTTGATAAAATGCTTTTGGCTAGCAGGTGAATTTTTCCAACTTCTTAAATTTTGCTTTAGGCTCTAAAACGTAGGAGTTCAGTACTTGATGATATTGGGTCTGGTGGACCGGTCCGTAGGATTCGACAGAAAGCTAATCTTCTATTACAAGGAAGCTCTCTGGCAAAACATAAAAGTCAATTTGATTCAAGTGCTCTTCAACAACCAGGTGCAGCAAGTCAGAAGCTGATTTTAAGGAATGAACCTGAGCCAAAAGTCTCTAAGACAGTAGAGGAAAATGGGGAGACCAGCAAGCGTATTTTAGGTTATGCATCTGTTCCTACGAAGTCGTCTCAAATGGCTTCGAAAATATTGGAACAACTAGAAAGATTGAGCCCAAAAGAAAAACCTTCAGGATCTAGGCTTGCTGGAACAAATGAGAAATCGCCCACTAAACAGACATCAAATATGATCCATGGCCAGGCTCTTGGAAGCCTAGAGAAAGTTGATTCACCAAAATTTCTGCCAAGCCCTCCGGTTAATCAGAAATCAGAGAGTCAGAACCACACGTGGTTGCCTGAGGCTCGTGCCTCAACCTCTCAAAGCAAAGACAAAGTTGAAGAAAATGGCCCAAGGAAGTTTGCTGTTCCTCGTAATGTACTGAGCTCAATGAATGGAAGTTCTACAATAGTGGTAAGAGATAATGCACCAATTGCTACAAACACAGATTCCATATTGAAGCTGCCAGCAGAACCTCCTCAGAAGAAGCGGTCTTTTCAGATGAGTGCTCACGAGGTAGGTTGCATAATCTGTTTATGTGTTTTACTTCTGAATTGACAAAAAGAATGGAATTACAAACAACTCGTCAATGTTTTTATCTAGTGCTAGTTAGAAAAAAATCTTGGTTTTTAACCCATTTCCGATTTGAGAGTTTTATCTAAATGACTAGTAATTATCTTAAAGTGAATTGATTCAGTTGGGTTTGGTCTTATCTGACCCTCCCAGAAAGAAATTGAAGACAACTAAAGTGGAGTCAAGGAGGAAATAGATAGTTGCGTGATAGGGTTTTGTAGCTCCATTGGAGCTTAGGTACCAAATTATCTGTTATATCCCCTTCGCATCAAATCACACTATTATGGCTCTGCACAATCATTCATCTTGGCTGTCAAGTTTCTTACAATTACAAGTTAAAGCTACTAGTTTTACTTTGAGGCTTTGAGATTCCACAAATATAAACTGTCAGATGGGAAAAACTGTTCAATCTAGAAAGGCGATCCCATTGATGTTCTTAAAGTATATTAAAAAGTTCCTCTTTTTTGACTAGACTTGTTATTGATATTTGATAGGAAATGTTGTTTAATTTGTTATTTTACCTCAGTCTTTCATGGTTTTTTTTACTTCTCTGTTTGTCTTGTGAAGGATTCTTTTGAGGTAGATGAAGACAACCATTCTAATGGGCATGCATTCGTCCCATTGGGTGAAAATAAGAAACTGGTAACATCTGTGGTAGCAAAAAAGGATGTTTCTGCTGATGCGCCTGCTCAAGTCAATCAAACTCCTGCACTGCCTGAAGTCACTAAAACTTCGGGACCTGAAGTTGGCAAAATTCCAGCAATGCCTGTGTTAAAAAAAACTGATGATGCTATATCTCCTCCAAAAACTGATTTGGGACGTCCTGGTGGTTCTGTTGTTAATGAGCAGAAGATGGGATTTAACTTCCCTACCTCGCCTCCATCAAGTAGCAATACGCAGTCTGCTGTGTTTTCTCAATCAACCTCAATATTGGATTCGGCTGCTGCACCGAAGGAACCAACAGTTCTGCCAACATTTGGCACAAGCACTAAAAATGCTGAGAATATGCCATCATTCTTTTTTTCTGCTGATGAGCCTTCAGGATTCAAAACCAATGCTAGTCCAGATGCAAAACCACCTGGTTTAACCAGGTAATGAAGTTATTTGCTTATCTGCATCAGACATCAATTGTGATTGTTGAAAATGATGTATTTGTTGCATATATAATAATCTTATGTCCCTTTTTCTCTTCTTTTTTGGCTGTGCAGCTTGTTTAATTCTGTTACGAAGAATGATCTAGTACAAGTTCCAGCTTCCAATAAAGATGATAATGGCAGCAGTCAGAAGTCAGTATTTATGTTTGGTAAATCAGAATCTTTATCCTCTGCTAGTCCAACAACGACGTCAGCAAGTGGTATATTTTCATTTGAAGGCCCAGCCAAGAATTCAAGTATTGCCAACGGGACTGCTACTTCAAGCCCATCAATTTTTGCTTCCTCGTCTCCATTTACAGCTTCTGGTACTAACACAAATAAGCCTTTCAGTAGTAGCTCATCCCATGTTCTGTCTTTATCCTCTACCACCACCACTTCAGCCTCTACTATTGCTTTTTCTACACCTCAGCCAGCACCCAAATTTGGTTTTGGGTCTGCAACTTCAACAACTTCGGCTTTGGCGGCACCTACGAAAGACAAGGAACCAAAATCCAGCATCAGTAGCTCACCTTTTCCTAGCCCATCTTTTGCCACAGCAAGCACTGGAAATGCATTTGGGTTCAGTTCTCCAGCAGCTACAGCAACCACCGATAACCACTCTCAGGGATCCCTTTTTAAAGGCACCAGTGGATCTCAGACATCTACTGCTGTTACAAAGGTGGCGCCTTTCCAGTTTGGCTCTTCCTCCACCTCTCCAGCTTCTGGGACTACTGCCATGCCATCTTCTTCTTCTTCTTCTTCAGGGAGTTCTCTTTTTGGTTCCTCAGCTCCTGCTTTTAGTTCAGCTCCTAGTTTTGGTCTTAGTTCTGCTGCTGCTGCCTCTGCCTCGACAGAGATCAAATCTGGTAGTTCCACCAGTAGTTCTACTAACATATTTGGCTCTTCATTCAGTTCGACGCCTAGTTTTGGCCCTAGTTCTGCTGTTGCCTCATCAGACACCAAATTTGGTTCTGCTTGGCAGCCACCAAAGTCTTCTGCGTTTGGTTCTTCTTTTGGTTCTCCATCTACAGGGTTTTCCTTTGGGGCTTCTTCTGCCAGCAGTTCACCTATTGTGTTTGGATCTACTTCTAATGCAGGTGCTTCTACGGGATCTTCCATGTTTTCATTCACTGCTTCTGGTGGTACAAATTCATCTTTTTTGGCTCCCTCCCCTGGTCAATCTGTTTTCGGAAGCTCGACGCCTGTTTTTGGAGCTGCCACGGCTTCACCTAACAATAACGATCAAATGAGTATGGAAGACAGTATGGCTGAAGACTCTACTACACAAACACCCACTCCTTCCATTCCTACATTTGGTCAAGCTCCTGCTAGCACCCCAGGTTTCATGTTTGGTTCAGCCACCCCAACACAGTCGACAGTTCCTTTTCAATTCGGTGGCCAGACAAAGCAACAGCTGTCTCAAAATCCTTTTCAGGCATCTGGTGGCCAGACAGATCAACAACCATCTCAGAATCCTTTTCAGGCATCTGGTAGTGTGGAGTTCAATGCCGGAGGAAGTTTCTCGTTAGGGTCCGGTGGGGGTGACAAGTCTGGCCGAAGGATTTTAAGAGTTAAAAGCAAGAACAGGAGGAAGTAAAGAGCTTATATGGAAGATGGTCTTTTTTGGGGAGATGCAAGGCAATTTGTTGCGTTCTTCATTTCATGATTATGCAGCCTCCATGGTTTCAGGTATTGTGGTAATTAGAATGTTATATCTCATTTTTGGAGGAAGTGTTCCGTGGCTGTGGTAGGAATGGATACTTGTTCAAATTTTATCATCACATTATTTATCTTTTTGTGTACTCCTGTAAAATCATACAAGTTATAAAGACCTTTTCAATCCAGAGTCATAATGCATATATGGCTTGTATCTTTTGCATTGAAAGTTGTACATACTTTTAGACGTTGTCGATTGCTTTTAGATTGAGGATAGTATGCGTAGTCTCAAAGACGCAGTAGTGAATGTTGCTGGGACGTGCTATGGTTCAACCGCTACATCTTTTAAAAGCACCTCTTTAGCAACACTGAGGGTGTACTGATTTCCAAGTTTGTGCCATGTTATTGTGCAAACACAGGTGTATTATTTTAATCTACATATTTTTCATTGTCAATGTACCTATAGTTGTACGATTAGTGATCCAGCATATGCTTTTTCTAGCAAAAATGGTTTTTGCTTGACTCGATTCAATGCAAGGAAATCATGGGTCTAAGTTTAAACAAGAATCCAAACACTGGCAACTGAAAACCACTGCTTGCACCAGCCCGATAAGGATGAGACCCAAGCCAACAATAAATACGGTGGAAGAACCGCAAGTCGTAAAGGTTAACCAGATAGTTGACATTAGTAACGGGAACCAGAATTGTTATAAACTCGGCCATGAGGGTATGGAACCCTTACCGGCTCAGGCCCTTGACTTCTCTTGGCTCCATGATGATCTGTGTGTGGCATATAGGGCCTGGGCCAACCATAATCATGGGGATGAGTCAGGTGGGTGGTGATTTCTGCACCTACTTCTTGTTGATACTGATGTAACCGGGCCTGTGATTCCTTGCGGAGGAGCTCCCCTACTTGTGCTGCATGTTGGACTCTAAGTGAAGACAGCTTCTCTTGGTATCGTCTATTGATCTCTACCATTCTCTAAAATCACAATTATATTAACATCAGTTCCCACAAACTAGTTATAAATGACATAAATCGACTAACCTCTTTGTGTCTAGCGCTTTCTTCATCTTCCACATCACTCAACTCTTTTATCAATTTCATGATCTCGTCTTGGAATTTCTGCTCAAGTCCTTGGAAACTAATTTCGGAAGGTTTGTCCTCCTCATACCCAATTTCCATGTCTTGCTCATATGATTGCAGTCTCGGGTCGTTATCTGCTTCGTTCTCATAATTAATCTTTTGATTTGCCATACGCTCTTGAGGAAGTCCTGATTCACACCAACAATTACAAAAAGAAAACATGTAATTATACAGTTTTAAGTATCTTATGCCAATGGTCCGAGCGGAATTGGTGTAGTTCTGTTTCATAGGGAAAACAATGTAATTAAAAATGGGCAAATTAGAAAACATTACTCTTATTGTGATGCATTAAACTTAGCAAACTTGAATTGCTATCTTCATGGTTTTCTTGTTAACATTTCATTAACCCTTGCATATTGTTCGACCTACCAAATGGATTTCATATATTATCATGATTTTATACTCTTTTAGAAGTAACAAATACTAGTCCACCCCCCACCTCCACGACCCACCAACAAAAGAAAGGATCATAATACGTTGAATCCTTTTTGAACAATCTTTTCAGGTTTTACTGGATTATCCCATCAAAAGATTCCCATGAATCATGAGAGGAACAATTAGGGTACACAGAAAGACAACAAGTGTTAGAAAAAAAACTATGGTACTAAAGATACTTGCCTTGTGAATATGAAGGAGGGGACATTGGATTCAATTCAATCTGTGGTGTTGTATCCCATTGCTGTCGGCCATCTGCTTGAGATGGACATTGAGTTTGCCCAGGAAACTCGCTTATTTGAGCATTCGGTTGCATTCTCTGTGCAGACATGTGCAGCAGCTGAGAAGCAGCATATCTATTGACACCTGCATCAGCATATGGTGCAGGCCTGTTCATCTTCTCCTTGTAATCACAAAACAGCGATATAACCTAACAACAGTTAAGGCCATTCAATATCTGTGAACACCATCTGAACAAAGTTATAGTCATACTTTCAACAAACATCCCACTGCATAATAATGTTCCCAGCTGAAACAAGACACAAATACAATGATGCAAGAATCACAAGGGGTGTTGCTTGTTCTTTCAAACAATTCAGTATCACATTGTAATCCTCACCAATGGATGTTAGAACCACAGCTATTCCTCCTGAAAATTGTGGATTCCACTGTTTGTGTCACGATCGATTTACAAAAACCCTACTTAGATACATCAATAAAGATGCAATTGCCGTTGGATTTCACATAAATAAGCAGATACACATAAGGAGCAAACTGTTCACATGTGACAGACAGAATGAAATCGAGAAAAAAACGACAAACATCTAGGGTTGAAGTATGAAATTCAAACCCTCAAAGGCTAATCAGCCAGTGAAGAAGGATCCACTACAAAAGAAAGAAACATTAGCGAAGACAAACCTGAAGCGAAGGTTGACGGTAAAGAAAGTAGGTGGATTTACGTAGATGTAATAAACCTAAGGAGCGATAGACAGTGAAGTTCTGAAATGAATGGGGGAAGAACGATGACGAAGATTGAAATACTGTTCGTAGCACGGGTTCTTTCTTTGTGGCGACTGATATGAAGTACAAAAAGCGTCCTTCAACTTATGTTTAAACACAGTTTTAGTCCCTTGACTTCAACTTACTCATGTTGGAACAATTTTGTTATTATTTTTCCTGTGTACAGAAATGCCCCCTTGACTTGAAAAGAAATGCCTTGGAGACGAAAATAAGCGCCTTCCATCGGAAGAAGTAACGAACAGAAAATACAGTCGAATCGTTGGAGGCTTTAACCTCAGAATCCTTGGTGGCGCCTACATCAACGACAGGAAGGAAACCATGTGGAGAACGGCTATGGCGCGCGCCACCAGTGCTCTTCGGTCGCCTTTGCACGGAATTACCGGCACATCTTTCCGCCGCCACTACGCGTCCAGCAGCAGCCCTTCTTCTTCTGTTGTGGTTAACTCCATGATTCTCCGTTCTCTTAAAGAACACTACGTCGAAGTCTCCAAAATGGCTCCTCCGCCGGTACTTTCCCATCTCAACTCTTTCTGTAGGGTTTTACGAGGGTTTAGCTTTAAAAACTGAATAAAGTCGATAAATCACTCATTGACTTATTGTGGTCTTATGTCGAGCAACTGATAGGCACTCTCTAGATTCAAAAAAGATATGATGAGTACTTGTCCTGATGTTAACTAGGGATCAAAATCTGGACTTGGTGTGTAGGGTTTTAATGGGGTTTATGTATTTGTGTTTGGGATGATTTTTGATATCTTATTTGTTAACAGAAGGTGAGTCCTCCTCCACAATTTACAGTGGTAAAAGGGGCACTCGATAGTGGCGGTCCGGTTTTGAAGCGAATGTATGGAGATGAGGAGATCAGTATCTCGGTGATGCGGATGGTTAACATTCTCCCCGGAGTAGATCCTGCTGAAATTGATGGTGATGATGAGATCAATCAGTTGTTTCTTCATGCTGATATATCGAAGCCCGGACAAGACTTCGTTTTGCATTTTCTCTGCGGGTTGTACCCAGATGCTTTGGGAATTCATTCTGTTTCCCTAAGACATAAGCTCGAAACCTCAGGGCTCCTTGAGGTTCCATCCAAATACAATGGTCCTAGTTTTGAGTAAGTCATCTCATGCTCAAAATTTCTGATGGTAAAACAGCCATAGTTAAGTGAGTACTCATGTTTTGACTTTCTGTTGCTAATACTATTTTGTACTTTATATGTGATGATTTATTCAAACATAGTGTTTGGAGATTTGCTAGAGATGACTTCATAATCCTATTAACTGCCGAGCAATTGACTAGATAACCAACAAACTCGTCTCTATACTGCACATTCCTCATCATACACTCAAAGGCAAACTAAATATCGTATTGCCAGCTTTCATTTTTCTCATCATAGCAAATGTGTTTCTTAGTTTTTGTGCTTGCTTTGAAATTATGAAATATACATAGTAGAGCAAAATATTTGGTTCATCTAGCCATTCAATCCTGATTAATTGGTGAATATAGTAGAAGTTTTTCTGGATTGCGGTCCCAAGATTTCTACTCTTTAGCCCTCACATTGAGAGAGAGGTTTTTTAATTGGAGAAGTTTCATTATTTTCTTGTGTTGACTGTTGTTTTGAGTCTTCCTGTCTTTATTATTTGATAGCTTCTTGGACACATTGCTCTACTTGGCAGTTTTCCTATTAGATTCACAGAAAGAGCAAATAATTTGGTAAATTGCTGACTCATTGATTTAAGTTATTCTATATGAATTTCCCCATAAGTTAGCACCATAGTGGCTGTTATATTCTGAACTCATAGGTGGTTTTCTCTAGATTTGACTGTAAATTTTATCTTTTAACTTGCACTGTTATATGATCTATGCGCCAGTTTGGTTTTCACGGGGGTACCAATTTGCTGTGATGTTTATCAAGCATGCTGATCCTAACTCCACTTTATGCTCCTTGGATACCTTGCTCTTTGTTTATCTTACTTGGCCACCTTTATAATTTCATCTAGCAGGAATGCTACTTTTGAAGGGGGGTTTATGGTTTCTGAGTAAGGGACAGTTGCCCATCACATGAGTGTCTAGGCTATAGGATGCCATATGCTTCGTTGTTAACTAGTTATGCATGGATTTGTGCACCTTCTCAACAATCTAAGATTATGGTCGACATAGTTCTTTTGCACCTACCAATATGAATAGAACCTTCACTTTGCCTTCTATCACAGAAGCACTACACCTATAAATGGTAACTGAAAAATCGACTGACAATAGTAAAACATCCAAGTTTGATAAAATTTTATTTCAATTTGTCTGCCTCGACATTATCTGTATACGAACTTGAACGTGATGTATATTTGATCCAATTAAATATTCTATGAATTATGTTTTGAAGTGTGGATGCTTATAAATAACATCTTCCACACACACAAACAAGTCTCAAGTAACACTAGTTACTGAAAGAGTAAGGTGATGATAGTCAATATGTTTTAATGAATCAAATTTATTTATAAACCGAAAAACCCTTTGCTCTCACAGGTTACAGTGTTACCTAACATTGAATATGAATTTTAGGATTTAGTCATCAAACTTGGAACATTTCATGAATTTTATTTATTCTTTTATTTAAGTTGTTATCATTTGTAAGTTCACTAATTTGTTTTAGATTAAAAAACTGAAAGTTTTATTTTCCAGAACCAGATTTGAAATCAGATTAAGATATTTTTACATATTCATATATATAATTTTTTGACTTGACCAAATTCTGATGTTATTTATGCTTTACAAATTTCAAATTTAAAAGTTGTGGTTTAACATTCATTTGACCCTTTGAATTTCATATTCGAAGTTGCGATCGGATCTATTCATTAAAAAGAATCGATTCAAGAATTCAAATTCAGTTTGATAATTAAATACGAATTCAAATCCAAATTTGAGTTGGTTAACATCTGTTCGCGGACCTAAGTAGTAAGTCCCACGCATTTAGTCCTTTTGTGCTGCGTGTAGGTGAATGATGGGGGTAACAAATTACTTTTGCATTGGAAGGAAGTGAATTTTTGTGATGCCCAAATTGGTAAATTACTTCTTTCTGGGAAGGATATTGGGGAATGTGGCTAGAGAAGTACAAGGTCCCATTTTTGCATGAGACCACATATAGAGGTATCTGGTTGGATAACTTAAGGGTATAAGAAGCCAACTATGAATTATCAGGTTGCTGACTAGTCGATGTAATTCCAGAAAGTAGGGTTAATCAGAAGTGTGACAAAGGCCTTGAGTAAGAGTGTTGCAGGAGTTTGGAAGCAATACAAAGTTGACTAAAAGGAAAGATGAAAGTAGAAATTGACTGTAGAATATTGGTGCTCTTTTTGGGTTGATAAGATTTGGGCAGTTAGACTTATGGTTGGTGCTGAGCACATGGTCAAGTGTTGTGGTGAAAGTTGGCCAGATCTATGGTTTATTATCAAGGGAGTAGCAATGCAATGTATGGCGTCTTTTCTGGGCGCTGTTCTATGGCCACATTGGCCCGATCAGAAGTGCAGCCAATTCATGTGCAACTGTTCATTGGTCTTTTCCAGGATGAGAAAACACGATAGCCTATCAGACCTTTACTATAGGGGGATAGGGTTTGAGCCTTGTTAGAGGTTGTATAGACTTTTTAATGGCATAAGAGTTGGCTGGAAAATGCATCATAGTAACCAGTGTTTTTTGTTTTTGTTCTTTTGAGGGGGTGGGGAGGGCTGTTCTTATACATAGGTACACCTACTTCTAAGCATCGTTCTTATTTAGTTTATGTTTTCAGTTGGCTTAAGTGGCGAAGGACGTGATTTAAACCTCGGCACACCTGGAACTTGGTATATGCATGTTGATATATGTTCACTTTTTAGTTCCTGAGTTTAAGTTATGAGGAAAAACTTGATTTGGCTTGTTAAAGATTGTATGGAGTTCAAAGAGTGGTGAGCAGATCTTATGGCAGAAAATCAATTGCCAAGGGAGTATAAAATCAGAAGAAAAGTGGAACAAATGCATTTCACTTGAGTTTCTGTAGGAATCATGTTTCAGGAATGAAAGCTGCATTGGCGAATCTTAACAACATGAGTTCTTGTGTGATCTGATGATCACAAGAACCTTAAGCACTATGCAATTAAAGCTGTTATATGTTTGGAGGACTTAAATTTTGTAGACGTTTAATTTATAGGCTTGCTCTAAAGACACTCTTATGCTTGTTTGGTTTTCTTTTTGGGAATGAGATTGAATTCAGAAGGGAAAGCTTGCACCATCATCTTGAGTTAGAGTCCTCTAATGCCCTTTTATTCTATAGAGTTTAACATTTCCTTGGATTCAAGGCTTAACCTATGTATTCTATATCCTTGTTCTATGCCTGCTTTGTGAAAATTTGACTTCGTTGGACATGGTGCTTTTGATTAAAGTGGCCGAAAGAGAGGACAACGGAATCAAAGAAATTGTAGGCAACTGAGTTTGGTACAATCTATGACACCAAGACCCCTTTACATGAAAGAACTATTACAAGGCAATTCCATGTGGGAGAATGTCGTCTTGTAAAGGCTATAGTTTCTCTTATATACTTGCACCTTATGCTCATCATTGTACAAAGATCCTCTTCATGCCTATCATGTTGTTTTATGTTTGCATTTCCCCCATTTTGGGTACCTGTGTTCTCGGTCCTCCAAGGATACCAGGGGCAGGGTGATAACCTATGTAATCCATACATATTGGTGAGTATCCAAATGAATAACTGACATCTTCTTAACCCGAAATGGCTGGGGAGAGCAAAGGTTTCTTTTTGTGAGGGTACTCCTGGGAGCAGATCCAGTGGAGACGGAGTGGGGCCTGTAGCTCAGAGGATTAGAGCACCCACAGTGTCCAGGGTTCGAATCCCTCCTCGCCCACAACCGGCCCAAAAGGGAAGGGCCTTTCCCTCTGGGGGTAGGAAAATCATGATCGGGATAGCGAACCAAAAACTTTGGAGCTTGGGTGTGGGTCTTTTGTCGAAATGGAATGGCCTTTTTATTTATTATTTATAGTAAATGAGTGAAGCATTACACATAGTATGTCCATCCCCCATCAGCGTATTTAACAAATGTGTCTTTGTGGTTTACAGAGCTCTTGATGATAGAATGAGGGATGCATTTCATGGTTACATCGAAGAGAGAGGTATAAATGATGGTCTATTCCCGTTCCTGCAAGCATGGCTTTACGTGAAGGATCACCGGAGTCTTATGCATTGGTTTAAATCAGTAGGGACATGTGTTAAGACAAGCAAGTAAGTTTCATATGGATTTCTTAGATGGATTTATTTCCCTTATGGATAAATTACTGTCGTTTCTCTACCTTAATAACGTATCTTTATTAGTATTTAGCCTCATATTTATGCATTCCAATTCTTTTACCGAATTATTTTATGCATTTTGTGTTCCAACTTAAGTACATGTGAATCCAAATTTAGTTTGATTTTCATCATTTAGTAAAGGATAAAGCTTTAATTTGCTAGATGTGAAGATGGTGCAGCATCATCATGTCAATCATCTTGTATAGATAGATGTTCATTTCTAAGTTAGGTAACATGATCAATAGTTGATTATTTACCAGACAACCAATACCTTTTGAGGGACATAATGAACATAATAAATAGGTTACCATAATAACCAGACTAGTTCTATGAATATTAATCGAGTTTTGAGTTAACCCAAACTCTAATCAACATTTCGTAAGGGATAGCTAGCTAGTTTATGCTGTGGTGGTTCTTGTTTAACCATTTAAACAAGTTTAATGTATGAATTAGTTTTAAATTATGAATTCAACATGTTTTTTTTTTTTTTGTAAGGGTGTCCGGGCCAAAGCCCGACTAATCCCCGGCAAATTTGGAGGCTAAACATGGCCTCACTTAAATGTCGCCAACACTCCTCTCCCAGGGCTCGAACTCGGGTTCATGACTATGTCATGCTCAAGCCTTTACCACTAGGCTGGAAGGTCTTTGACATGAATTCAACATGTTGGTGGCCACTTTGTACATGAGAAAGGTTCAAACGAGAATGGTACCATTTTACAAGAACGTCTGAAACAGACAACTATCCCATGTGAAAACTGGTGATACACACTTGATGGGCACAGTCCCGGTTCAGTATCACATGTGATGGTTGCCTTTTTTAGGTGTTTTTACGTTTTCAAAAAATGGTATTGTTCTTGTTTGAAGATCCACTTACATGTATAAATATATTATATATAAAAGTCAACTGTATTGATTGACCTGGATGGGAATTAAGAGAGTGGGGAACAATGGGCCATTGATGGTGGTCATCTTTATAGAAAGAAAAGGTTTTGCCCTGGTTGCCATGAATTCAAAGTGTGGTGAGTATGATGAAGTGTGTCAACTCCTCCATATCATGTGGGCTACAAAGGAGATTTTTGGATCCCTTTTTTTCCTCCATAGTAGGACCATTCATGGTTACTTTGGTCAATTTAAGTGGATTGGTCATTGTGCACTTGATGAGTTGATGGTAACAAATTTAAATGGGCCATAACCATCTCAACTTCAAAATCCTTTTCCTTCTTTATTACTTTATTACTAGTTTTTGGACATATTAGAAAAAAAAATATTATATTTAATCATCAAAAAACCTTTTTCTATATTTCCAGCTTTACCCTTATATGAGGGAGGAACTGAAGGAAGTAACAGTGCTTGGTATTTGAATCAAGGGGCAAAATGGTCATTTTATAAAAATTATTTATTTGCTTAAATTATAACTTTTTTAATCTTATGCTTGTTTTAAATGAGAAGTAGTGCCAATGTTAGATACCTAATTCATCATGAGTACATTTTAAATGGATTAGTGTCATGACACACATGTCGGTGAAGATCCATATTTGTATTCGAAAAACATCCGGGGATTCATATTTATATTCGAAAAACAAACATTCGGTGTTCAGTCATTTCATCAACTAATAATATTTTTTCTACATCATTTATGAATTATTTGTATTCAATAAATTGTTAAAACACATACCTTTTTGGACAATACAACATAGATTCTGCAATTTTTTCCTTTTTATACAATATTTTTAGCACTAGAACTGTCATTTTTAACAAAACAAAAAGTTTGAAAAAATTTAATAAAAAAATCCGACAAATTTTCTATTTAGAGATTTTAACACTAATTATATTGTTAAATAAATGTTCATATGTAAATCATTGAAAAAAATTATTTGAAAATGTGAATCAACCTTAAAAATTATTCATATGGATTTGCATATGCATCTGTAAATGGATTTTATCAATTTTGTGTATATTGTCATATGTGTGTTGTTTGGGAAAATTGCACCAAAATGGAACCAACTTTAACTTTATTCCTATTTCGGGGAACCAATTTTCAAAATCGTCATTTTGAGGAACCAACTTGTACCTGATTCCTATTTTGGGGAACCAACTTGCAAAATAATTATGGAAGAATAACTAAAATTCATTTTTTTTTTCAAAAATTAATGCAATAAAATCTATTTTTCATTTCAAATCTCGTTTTGTTAAATTCATATATGAAATTGAAGAATTTTTCAAAAAAAATCCAAATTACTACAATAAAAAAAATCAAGTTAATAGAAAAAAAATTAATTGATGTAATAAAAAATAAATATTAAATATCACATTCAAGATTTTTATATCTAACTAATTCATATCAATATTAAAGTTTAAATCAAATTTGGTAAATCAAACCAAAAGTTTGATAGAGACTCTTAAATTATATGTTTCATGTTTAACAGATTAACCAGACCCTTAAATAAACAAAAAGTTTGATAAAGACCTTTAAATAATGATTTTGAAAATTAATTCCCTAAAATAAAAATTAAATAAAAGTTGATTCCATTTTAATAGAATATTCCGGTTCTTGTTTTAGGGATGAACACTTTGGTCTAAAATGTAAGCATTAGGAATTAAAGAAAGAATGGAGTGAGATATGAGCCACAAGAGGGAGAAATGTGAGACACAAGGCATGATGCCCATATGCACCTATGCATCATGTTATGTCCATGCCCAATCATGACCCAATGTGGGCCCCAACTAGCTTTCTCGTGTTGACTTTCCAAGTGCATGCAGAGAGTTGACCATCCTAAATAATACTTTGTATTGTTTCAAACAGAGCCCCTTGTTTTTTTAGCAAGTTACAATATCAACCCTCACAAAAAAATAAGTGTACATTTTAGTCCTCATATTGTTAACAAACTTAACATGTAAGATTAACCTTCACAAACAGAAAAGTTATAGACTTGAAAGTCAACTAACTGATTACTTTCGGGAAAAAAAAATTCAACGACTGGCAACGATTTGACCCTTTTTATCAATAGTCTACGCTGAAAGAAATGTTGATACCTATGTTAATATTATTGACTGAAAACCACAAGGGTGGTGTTTGATTGGTTTGAGCTTGACTCCAAAGGTCAAAAGTACCAGGAGGTCTCAGGTTCAAATTCAAGGAGGAATAAAATCCCCTTGCGGCCATGGAGGTTCAAATACGGTGACTCCGTGCTATCTGCGAAGCAGATGGTCGTTCTGGGATTAGTCGGCTCGCATAGCGGATTGGATATCCAAGTTAATAAAAAAATTATTGACTGAAAAGATTTAGAATGATAGATTATGTACATTGAAGGTTTTTATCGGTCAAGGGTCCTAAATTTATATGTATGGATCCATAATTCGGAGTAGTGAAATAATAAAACGTAGAAATAGAAGCCATTCAACTTCATACCATTTCAATCCTACTATGGAAACGTATTTATAACTTAAGTGGCTCAATCGAAAATTTTCATTTCTATACCATTGAAAATGACAAAATATATGTAGTATCCAATTTTATAATTACTACTCATTTCTCAATTCCGTCAAAAAAATACAACGATTATTTAAATAAATATAAATACACACATACACACACACACATATGTGTGTGTGTGGAGGATCAAATGATATTGCGGTTAACTTACAAGAAATGTATGGTTTTATAGTATATCACATATGACTTACATGGGTTAACGCAACATGACCCTTTTGGACATGTTGTTAATCACATGTGATGTAAATTGACTGTTCTCATACTTTTTGTAAACTTGATCGATTAGACACTAAACTAAAGCTGGATTTTATTACTTGAAGGGCAACCTGATCGTCTATCTTATCAAATTTTGAAATTTATTATAAATATTTGGTTAATAATAAAATATTTTGATTAAATCATATATTTGAATTAACTATATTTTTAAGACATGAAAATAAAAACACAAGCCTTTTTCATTAGTTTGGTTGGTTTATACATTAAGAATTTGGCCAAAGAAATAATAATGACAAAACTCTATTTAAGCTTCAATTCCAAGAAATCTTGGATTAAGTTACCAAACATCATCTTCACCCGGTACTATGTGCTTTGCTACCATTCTTTTTTTTTTTTTAATTTTTCTTTAAACTAATTTTTTCATCGAATAAAGAATGGGTTTTTTAGCATCGTTTTTATTAGAAAACTTGAACTTTAAAGAGGTTAAAAAAATAGCAGTTTGATGAAGATTTTAATCTGTGATAAATTATTTTATTCAAATGTAAACAAATTAAAATTGGTTGATCTCGATAGAAAAAATAAAAGAAAATAAAATATGTTTTACTTGTCATCATGATGTCATGGTTACAAATATAGAATTGATTTCAGACTCGTTTAAAACTAGCTCGTACTAACGAATGTAAAAGAATATATTAACCATATTTTTATTATTAGATAAATATTTTAAATATTTAATCTAATAGTTTAATGTTTTTTGTATATCAAATCAAATGTTACGTTTAAGAAAAACCTTGGTACTCACTTAAAGTCGATAATATAATTTTTTGAACAAAAAAAATATTAATGTGATAATTATAATTTTTTGAAAAAATATTAATGTGGTAATTATTAGATATTATATTATCTAAATTTTGAAACAACATAAACATAAAATAAAACACGTTATAATATCTTTTTGGATAAAAGGAACATGCTATTACAAACAAACAAACACACACACACACACACACACATATATATATATATGTATATATATTCAATACATGTAGCTCGTTTTTCTTGACTTGTTATCTTAACAATTAAAGGGTTGTTGGTCGAAAAAGTAACAATATACATATTACTTACTTTTGACAAAATAAAAAAATTAATATGAATGATAAAATAATTTTCATCAATTTATTATTATTATTATTACTTTTTAAATTAAATAACTTTGGTATTTCTAAATTTTTTCCTCAAGAACATATATATCATTTTATTTTTCACATATATGTGAAATTAAATCTAATAATTTTGTAAAGATGGAGAGACCATAAAATCAAATAAATTGATTGTTTATGAGTATATAAAATATATATTTATTTTTGTTATCTTTTGTGTGGATGGTACTCCTTCACAGTTTTCAAGTTTAAAGT